AGCGCTTGAACCCGAGAGACGGAGGTTGCAGTGAACTGAGATCCTGCCACTGCATTACAGCCTGGACAACAGAATGAGACTCCATCTTTTTTTTTTTCTTTCTTTTTTTTTTTGAGACGGAGTTTCGCTCTTGTTACCCAGGCTGGAGTGCAATGGCGCGATCTCGGCTCACTGCAACCTCCACCTGCTGGGTTCAGGCAATTCTCCTGCCTCAGCCTCCTGAGTAGCTAGTAATACAGGCATGCGCCACCATGCCCAGCTAATTTTTTGTATTTTTAGTAGAGACGGGGGTTTCACCAAGTTGACCAGGATGGTCTCGATCTCTTGACCTCGTGATCCACCCGCCTCGGCCTCCCAAAGTGCTGGGATTACAGGCTTGAGCCACCGCGCCTGGCCTGAGACTCCATCTTAAAAATAAATAAATAATAAATAGAAATGGGCAAAAGACATGAATAGCCATTTTATTGAAAAAGAAACTTTTGCTAGGTGTAATGGCTCATGCTTGTAATCCCAACACTTCGATAGACTGAGGTGGAAGGATCGCTTGAGGTCAAGACAAGCCTGGACAGCACTGAGAGGTTTTTTTGGTTTGTTTGTTTTGTAGAGACAGGGTCTCCCTATGTGTTCCAGGCTGATCTTGAACTTCTGGGCTCAAGTGATCCTCCCATGTTGACCTCCTAAAATGCTGGGATTACAGATGTGAGCCACTGAGCCTGCAATAAAAAAAAAAAAATCTAAAAAAAAATTAGCTGAGCATGGTGGCCTGTGCATGTAGTCCCAGCTACTGCTGGGAAAGGGAGGTTATTGAGGGGAGCTGGGCAGGAAGATTGCTTGAGCTGAAGAGTTCCTGGCTGCAGTGAGCTGTGATCACACTATTGCCCTCCAGCCTAGGTGACAGAGCAAGATCCCATCTCAAAAAATAACAACAAAAAAAGAAATTTAATTAGCCTGCGTCTTATATGGCAATCTGTTCTGGCTGCCATAACAAGATACCACAGACTGGGTGGCTTAAACAATAGGAATTTATTTCTCACAGTTCTGGAAACTGGGAAGTTCAAGATGGAGGTGCCAGCAAAGTAGGTTTCATTCTAAGGCCTCTTCTCTGGGCTTGCAGACAACCATCATCTCACTATGTGCTCACATAATCTTTGCTTCTCTCTCTCGCTTTCTATCTCTCTCTCTCTGTGTGTGTGTGTGTGTGTGTGTGTGTGTGTGTGAGAGAGAGAGAGAGAGAGATCGAGAGAGAGCAAGTGTACTCTGGTGTGTCTTCTTAAAAGGACACTAATCCCATCATGATGATCCCACCCTAATGACCTCATCTAACCCTAATGACCCTATCTCCAAATACCATTACATTGGAGGCGAGGGCTTCGATATGTAAATTGTGGAGAGGACACAATTTAGTCCACAGCAGCTTATACACTTTTTTTTTTTTTTTTTTTTTTTTTTTTTGAGACAGAAAGTCTTGCTCTATTGTCCAGGCTAGAGTGCAGTAGCACCATCTCAGTTCACTGCAACCTCCACTTCCTGGGTGCATGGGATTGTACTGCCTTAGTTTCCAGAGTAGCTGGGATTACAGACATGCATCACCATGCCCAGGTAATTTTTTTTTTTTTTTTTTGTACTTTTTGTAGAGACAAAGTTTCACCATGTTGGCCAGGCTGGTCACAAACTCCTGACCTCAGGTGATTCACCTGCTTCAGCCTCCCAAAGTGCTGAGATTACAGATGTTAGCCACTGTGCCTGGCTATCAGCTTATAAACATCTTTTTACTGCCCAATCTCATTAATGATCAGGGAATATAAATTAAAATAAAAGTGAAATACCATTGTATACCCACCAGATTATACGAAATCAAAACATCTGATAGTATTAAGTGTTGACAAGGATGCAGAGCAAGAGACTTCTCATTCACTGCTGGTGGAAACGTTAAGTTGAATAAGAGTTAAGTACTTGCTAATGAAATTGGTGATGAACATACCCTACATTCCAGCAATTTTGCTCTTAGGTGTATATGTTAAAGTACATAAAATAAAAATGTAGAGCCTAATCTCTAAATTTAACATATTTGGGAAGCAAGAATTGCAATTCAAAGCATATACACAGACTGGGTGTTCTTTGGTTCACTTTGAGGTTTTATAAGAAGGAAAAATGTTACATACGGCTTTGAAAGAAAGTTCATTGGCACTACGCAAGTTTTAAGTTGCTGGCAAGCTCTGATTGGTGAGTGACTGCAGTGGGTAAAACTAGTCCTTTGCGGCTGGGCTCAGTGGCTCACACTTGTAATCTCAGGAGGAGGTTTAGGTGAGTGTATCACGTAAGCCCAGGAGTTCAAGATCAGCCTGGCAACATGGTGAAACCCTGTCTCTATAAAAAAGACAAAATTTAGGGCCGGGCGCGGTGGCTCAAGCCTGTAATCCCAGCACTTTGGGAGGCCAAGGCGGGTGGATCACGAGGTCAAGAGATCGAGACCAGCCTGGTCAACATGGTGAAACCCCGTCTCTACTAAAAATACAAAAAATTAGCTGGGCATGGTGGCGTGTGCCTGTAATCCCAGCTACTCAGGAGGCTGAGGCAGGAGAATTGCCTGAACCCAGGAGGCGGAGGTTGCGGTGAGCCGAGATCGTGCCATTGCACTCCAGCCTGGGTTAACAAGAGCGAAACTCCGTCTCAAAAAAAAAAAAAAAAAAAAAAAAAGACCAAATTTAGCTGAGCTTGCTGCTACACACCTGTAGTTCCAACTATTTGGGAAGCTGAAGTGGGAAGATTGATTGAGCTAAGTCCAGGCTGCAGTGAGCCCTGATCACACCACTGCACTCCAGCCTGGGTGACAGAGAGACGCTGTCTAAAACCAAACCAAACAAAAACACAACAACAACAACAAACCACCACCAAAAAACCAAACTAGTCTTTGAGTCATAGCAGGTTGTTTCAGTAGCTATTTGGTAAAACTGGTTTCCGGTTATAACAGGCAGTTTCAGCAGTCAGGCTTGCAGAGAATTACATTCTTTGAGCAATGTAATGTGCCCTCAGTGCTTCCCCTCCCAATGTCTTCATTGGGTACGACAAGAATGACCCAATTTGTATGCTTAACTTTCACAGGTGTAATAGAGTAGTGAATCAAGAAATTGATTTTAGTGGTGTTGAAGTATAATTTTCTGAAAAGTAAAATCATGACCCTCTTACAAATATAAAAGAAATATGCATCGAATATTTTATTTATCTCATTAATTAATAAGGGAAGGCCGGGCTCACGCCTGTAATCCCAGCACTTTGGGAGGCCAAGGTGGGTGGATCACGAGGTCAAGAAATCGAGACCATCCTGGTCAACATAGTGAAACCCCGTCTCTACTAAAAATACAAAAAATTAGCTGGGCATAGTGGCGCACGCCTGTAGTCCCAGCTACTCGGGAGGCTGAGGCAGGAGAATTGCTTCAACCCAGGAGGCGGAGGTTGCGGTGAGCCGAGATCGCGCCATTGCACTCCAGCCTGGGTAATAAGAGTGAAACTCCGTCTCAAAAAAAAAAAAAAAAAAAAAAAAATTAATAAGGGAGCCAGTAAGGTGTTTAGAAATGCAGCATGAATTTGCTAAGAATCAGGAATGTTTAAACAAATTTGCTAAGAAGGGTAAAAATGGTTTAATATGCTGTAGGTTAAGAAAACATAATGTTTTGGTGTATCTTTTCTACAGATGAACAATTATTATTATTATTATTATTATTATTGAGATGAAGTCTTGCTCTGCCATCCAGGCTACAGTGCAGTGATTGACCTCGGCTCACCACAACCTCTGCTTCCTAGGTTCAAGCGATTCTCCTGCCTCAGCCTCCCAAGGAGCTGGGATTACAGGTACTTGCTACCGCATCGGCTAATTCTTGTGTTTTTTTTAGTAGACACAGTGTTTCACCATCTTGGCCAGGCTGGTCTCCAACTCCTGACCTTGTGATCCACCCGCCTTGGCCTCCCAAAGTGCTGGTATTACAGGCGTGAGCCACTGAGCCCAGCAAGAATTATTTTAAGAACTAATCAGTTTTCTGGTAAAATAGTTTAGTCAATAGAAAGTCAGAGCTCCCTATGGATTCAAATCCTTTCAGCCTTACACTGAAAGGGCACCCAGTAATCCCTTTCCCTCATTTCCAAGTCTTCAACAATGTTTGCTGAAAATTGGTGTCTGTTAGCAGTTTTTGGTAATGAAACAGAAAAGAAGGGATAAAAATTTTGTGCATTGCGGTTCATAAATGTAAACATAGTTTTGTGAAGATTTTGTTTCACGCCGGGCCTGTTGTCGGTTCACACTTGTAATCCCAGCACTTTGGGAGGCCGGGAGGGGCGGATCACTTGAGTTCAGGAGCTGGAGACCAGACTGGTCAACATGGCGAAACTCCGTCTCTACTAAAAATACAAAAAATTAGCCTGGAGGTGTTGGAATGGTCCTGTAGTCCCAGCTACTCAGGAGGCTGAGGTGGGAGGATCACGAGAGCCGAGGAAGTTGAGGCTGCAGTGAGCCGAGATGGCATCACTGCACTTCAGCCAGACCCTGTCCCATAAAAAAGAGAAGGAAATACGTGGTCTTGGGTTTGATGTAAAATATTTTTGTTTCACTGTTGGCTCGGATCAAAACCGTTTAAAGGCCACTAATGTGACACATGAGGCTCAACAGTGAAAAAAAACTGGACTTTTGAGTTCCTCCTTCCCCCAAAGTAAGCATCCCTTCAGTGCTGGGCTCAGTCATGCAGACTCAGAAAACGATTTAAGAGAATGGTAGAGAAGCACCGTGCCAGGAGTACCGGTCGTCTCTCCTTAACACTGAGATCCGCGGCCTTCCTAGGACACCCCAAGAATCAAGAGTGCAAGCGGCATGGAAAGGGTGAGCCAGTCGGCCAGCAGGCAGGAGCAGAGGCTTGCAGCCGGGCAGCTGGTCCGCGGGGAAGCAAGTCCAAGCCCGGGGCCCAAGCAGTGGGCAACGACAGGCGCCGGCGGCCCAGCCACCCGCGAGCGGAAGAACCCCGCGCACGCGCAGTGACAGTCCAGCGCCGGTGAAGCGTCGGAAGCCTCTTCACCCCGCCGGGCTTCTCATCCGGTCCTCCGGGGACCGCACGGCCTCGTCACTCCCGCCTCGTCACCCACGCAGGCTTTCCCCCGCCCTCCCCGGCCGGGGCCGGTCACGACTGCGCGCGCCGAGCCTGAGTGGGCGCTGGAGGGAAGGGGAAGCGGCGGGTAAGGAGGGCCTGCTTCCGGGCACGTCTCTGACAGGGTGGGGAACTTCCTCCTCTGCTGTCTCCGGCATTCCAGACCCCTGAGAACTGGAGTGAGAGGACCCTCTAGAACTGTGTATTTCCTCGCCTTTCCTCCGGCCGCCGCATGCCTTCCTCCGACAGTCTTTAAGTGTTGCCCTTCCCAGACCTTCTCGTCCCGACCGCCCCGGCCTCCCGCACCCCCACTGGGGGATCCTGAGGCCGTGCCCGCAGTCCCTCGGTTGTCGCCTCGTTTGTCTGAGATGCCTTCCCTGACCTTTAGGTATCGCGGGAACGAGTATCAGCTTTTAGTGTAGCAGCAGCTTAGGGCTAGCTCTGTAGGTCGGGCCCCCAACGCCAGCACAAAGAACCTCGATGTTTTGACGCTTGTCTGGGATGTTCTTTCCGACACCCCTTTGCTGAAGCAGCTTCCACATGTTCTCAGCAGTGAATTCAAAGCCAGCAAGCATAGGTCCGCTTTAGTTCCTCTGGGCATTTCTACCGTTTCCTAATAATCTGCTTTTCTTTATCCGCACTTTTTTTTTTTTTTTTTTTTTGAGACAGTCTCGCCCTGTCGCTCAGGGTGTAGTTCAGTGGCGCGATCACAACTCACTGCAGCCGCTCGACTTCTCAGGCTGCAGCCATCCTCCCATCTCAGTCTGTTAAGTAGCTGGAAGTACAGGCGTGCCCCATCAGACCCAGTTAATGTTTAAAAATTTTTTTGCGGAGGGGGTGGGGGAGGGTCTCTCTATGTTGCCCAGGCCGGTCTTGAAATCCTGGATTCAAGCGATCCTCCCATTAGGGCCTACCAAAATGCCGGGATTACAGAGGTGAGCCACCTTGCCCAGCCAATAATGTGCTTTTCAAACTTGGGGCACATAAGGCACGTCCCTTATATCCCTATGCAATGTCACAGAACTGCGCTCTTTTCCTTTGCAAATACGGTCACTCCACATGCTACCTTTGGGGATGATGTTCCTACCCCACTGATAGTGGGGTGGTGTCAGCAGTTACTGAGAAGCATGGTAACAGGCTAGTATTTCTGTTGTCTGCTACCCGAAGGATATTCAGTCAACTCTTCTTGGTAGCAGGAGGCAGCATTTTAGCTCAGTGGCTATGCTTGATGCCTTGAAATAAGGGACAGAGGAAGTACTTTGTAGTTACACCACTAGAGTTTTAAATGTTCTGACAGAGAGAAATGGGAAACAGAAAAAATACATGCTTTCTTCCCCATCCCTTTTTTCTTTTTTTATTTAACTTTATTTTTAAAAGTGGGGCTGGTCGGAATAGACTCTGCTTGCGCCGCCGAAAAGTGACTGGAGGGAGGTGCGCCACCTGCCCCCCACCCCGGCTTTTTTTTTTTTTTTTTTAAGACGCAGTTTTCTGTTGCCCAGGCTGGAGTGCAGTGGTACAATCTCGGCCCACTGCAATCTCTGCCTCCTTGGTTCAAGTGATTATCCTGCCTCAGCCTCCCGAATGCTGGGATTACAGGTGACCACCACCACACCTGGCTAATTTTTTTTTTTTTTTTTTTTGAGGCGGAGTTTCGCTCTTGTTACCCAGGCTGGAGTGCAATGGCGCGATCTCGGCTCACCGCAGCCTCCGCCTCCTGGATTCAAGCAATTCTCCTGCCTCAGCCTCCTGAGTAGCTGGGATTACAGGCACGCGCCGCCATGCCCAGCTAATTTTTAGTATTTTTAGTAGAGACGGGGTTTCACCATGTTGACCAGGATGGTCTCGATCTCTTGACCTCGTGATCCACCCGCCTCAGCCTCCCAAAGTGCTGGGATTACAGGCTTGAGCCACCGCGCCCGGCCGTCACCTGGCTAATTTTTTTTCTTTTTTCTTTTTTTGAGACAGAGTCTGTCTCTGTCGCCAGGCTGGAGGGCAGTGGCACCATCTCAGCTCACTGCAACCTCCACTTTCTGGGTTGAAGCGATTCTCCTGCCTCAGCCTCCCAAGTAGCTGCGACTACAGGCGCGCACCACCATGCCCAGCCGATTTTTGTATTTTTAATAGAGACAGGGTTTCACCATGTTGGCCAGGATGGTCTCGATCCCTTGACCTCATGATTTACCCACCTCAGCCTCCGAAAGTGCTGGTATACAGGTGTGAGCCACCGCACCCAGCCAATTTTTGTATTTTTTAGTAGAGAGGATTTCGCCATGTTGGCCAGGCTGGTCTTGAACTCCTGACCTCAGGTGAGCCACCCCCCTCAGCTTCCCAGAGTGCTGGGATTACAGGCTTGAGCCACTGCCCCAGGCTTTTTTTTTTTTTTTTTTTTTTTTTTTTTTTTTTTTTTTTGAGACAGGGTCTTGCTCTATCATCTAGGCTGGAGTGCAGTGGTGCCATCTCAGCTAACTGCAGCCTCGACTTTCCTGGCTCAGGTGGTCCTTCCTCCTCAGCCTCCCCTGAGTAGCTGGGACTACAGGTCTGTGCTATCGTGCCTGGATAATTTTTTTTGTATTTTTAGTAGAGACTGGGTGTAGCCATGTTGCCCAGGCTAATCTCAAACTCCTGGACTCAAGTGATCTGCCCACCTCAGCCTCCCAAAGATCTGTACTGACAGGTATGAGCCACTGTGCCCAGCCCCTTTCACCCACTTTTAAAAATTTATTGTTTACTCTAATTTGGGTGACAGAGTGAGACCCTGTCCCCCCAAATACATATTTTTTAAATTGATACATAATGATTATTTTATATTTACATGTATGGGGAACAGTGTGATATTTTGATACATGTATAGAATGCGTAATGATCAAATCAGGGTAATTAGCATATTTGTCACCTCAAACACTGCTTGCTTTTATATGCTAGTTATATGTAATATGTTGATATTCTGTAGATGGTGATAGGAAGTTTTAGCAGCTACTTTTTTTTTTTTTGAGACGGAGTTTCGCTCTTGTTACCCAGGCTGGAGTGCAATGGCGCGATCTCGGCTCACTGCAACCTCCGCCTCCTGGGTTCAAGCAATTCTCCTGCCTCAGCCTCCTGAGTAGCTGGGATTACAGGCATGTGCCACCATGCCCAGCTAATTTTTTGTATCTTTAGTAGAGACGGGGTTTCACCATGTTGACCAGGATGGTCTCGATCTCTTGACCTCGTGATCCACCTGCCTCAGCCTCCCAAAGTGCTGGGATTACAGGCTTGAGCCACCGTGCCCAGTCAGCAGCTACTTTCAAACCTCTCAAATATCTCAGTAAATTAATTCCTAGAAAGTCATAATAATCAGCCTTGTTATTTCGACTTTGATAAGTTTAAATACTGTAAAGGTAACCATTTTTTCTATCATCAGCCCACACTATGTCTTATTATCAATTGTATTTAAACTTTGATAAGTTTAAATATTGTAAATGTAACCATTTTTTTCTACCATCAGCCCACACTATGTCTTTTTTTTTTTTTGAGATGGGGTTTCACCATGCTGGTCAGACTGGTCTCGAACTCCTGACCTCAGATAATCCACCTGCCTCGGCCTCCCAAAGTACTGGGATTACAGGCATGAGCCACCATGCCCGGCCTACACTATGTCTTATTATCAGTTGTCAATTATATCTAAATTACAAAATCTTAGTCATCTTAAATTTCCCTATGCTATTCTATATCTCTTATATTACAGGTTCTCTTGGGTTCTTTGTTTGTTTGTTTGTTTTGAGACAGAGTCTTGCTCTGTCACCCAGGCTAGAGGGTAGAGGGCAGTGGTACGATCTCAGCTCACTGCAACCTCTGTCTCCTGGGTTCAGGCGATTCTTGTGCCTTAGCCTCTCAAGTAGCTGGGATTATAAGCCGGTGCCACCAAGCCTGGATAATTGTTGTATTTTTAGTAGAGATGGGTTTTGTCTGTTGCCCAGGCTGGTCTTGAACTCCTGGATTCAAGTGGTTTGCATGCCTCGGCATCCCAAAGTGCTGGGATTATATGCATGAGCCACCGTGTCAAGCAGTTTCTTTATTTAAAACGCAATTTAGAAACAAAAAACAAAACAAAACGAAACAAAAAAGCAATTTAGAACAGGCTTGGTGGCCTAATAATTCCTGTGCAGTGTGATGTGGTGGAACCGTCATGGATTTAGATTAAGAAAGCCTGGAGTCAGATACTGAGATTGTGGTACTAACATTGTATCCTTGGGGAAACTCTGAGCTTCAGTTTCCTTCCTCTCATTTTAGGTAAGATTTTTGTTTCTTCTCACCTCTAAATTATTGTAATAACTACTACTGACATAATATGTGGAGAAGCTAAAAGTTAAAAAAAAAAAAACAAAACAAAACCCAGGCCAGGATCAGTGACTCACGCCTGTAATCCCAGCACTATCAAGAGATCAAGACCATCCTGGCGAACATGGTGAAACCCTGTCTCTACTAATAAAGTACAAAAATTAGCTGGGCATGGTGGGGAGCACCTGTAATCCCAGCAACTCAGGGGGCTGCGGCAGGAGAATTGCTTGAACCCAGGAGGCAGAGGTTACAGTGAGCTGAGATAGTGCCACTGCACTCTAGCCTGGCAACAGAGTGAGGCTCCGTCTCAAAAACAAACAAACAAACAAAAAAAAAACCCTAAGCTATTGTTATTTCTCTTTGTTCTCATTCATTTCACAAACACTGGAAACCTAACATATGTTATATACTGGTGCTATAGCTACGAAAGATAGAGCCCTTAAAGGGCTGTCTTTCAAGGAGCTTTCAGACTGTGTGTGTGTATGCCAGGAGTAGGGTGGTAGGGTATTTGATAAGGTAGATTATACTATAGAATGTAAAACTAATAAGCTTAGGGTAAGCAACAAACCCAGATGAATTTGGGACCCTATTTCCGCTATTCCAGAAGAGGAACGGAAAGGTTCCTGGAGGAAGTTATATTTGAACAAAGTCTTGAATTATAACAAGGATCTCCAAGGGCTTTGTGTGCTACAGGAAGTGTACACATTGAAGAATTTTAAGCAGTTAGACTGATCACAACTGCTTTTTGAAAGTTCATATTGGCTGTGATGTGTGCTTTGTTAACTTTCTGTCTTTGTGCTTTATTATTATTTTTTTACTCCATCAAGAAGGGTTTATATTCTCTCCTCATACCTTAATATTAACTGTTTATCTTTCAGTTTCTAGTGTAGGTCCATTTCTTGTGTCAAACATTATCCAATTATTTTAGCCCCCTACTTATTTGTTCTCTAAAACCGTATTAGAAATATTGGCCAGGCGCGGTGGCTCAAGCCTGTAATCCCAGCACTTCGGGAGGCCGAGGTGGGTGGATCACGAGGTCAAGAGATTGAGACCATCCTGGTCAACATGGTAAAACCCCATCTCTACTAAAAATACAAAAAATTAGCTGGGCATGGTGGCGCGTGCCTGTAATCCCAGCTACTCAGGAGGCTGAGGCAGGAGAATTGCCTGAACCCAGGAGGCGGAAGTTGCGGTGAGCCAAGATTGCGCCATTGCACTCCAGCCTGGGTAACAAGAGCGAAACTCCATCTAAAAAAAAAAAAAAAAAAAAAAAAAATATTAATAGTACCACACTTTAGTCCTTGTTTTGTTTTTTTGTCCTTAAGTAGATTTTAAGTATAGAGAATGTTTCTTATGTATGAATAGGAAGCATGTTAAAAAAATGTGTTGCTTGATCTCTGTATTTTGTTTTTCAGTGTAGTAACAGATTATGGGCAATAGTCCTTTTAATTAATCTATCATCATCATGGCTAATGAAGGCTATCCTAAGGCTACCGATAGTCCTTTTTCATCAGATAAACATGCCCAACTCATCTTGGCCCAAATCAATAAGATGAGAAGTGGACAGCATTTCTGTGATGTGCAGCTGCAAGTTGGAAAGGAAACTTTTAAAGCTCATCGGCTCGTTTTGGCTGCCAGCAGTCCTTACTTTGCAGCTTTGTTCACTGGAGGAATGAAAGAGTCTTCAAAAGATGTTGTACCGATTCTAGGAATCGAAGCTGCAATTTTTCAGATACTTCTAGATTTCATTTACACAGGTATGTTACATGAGCCTGTTGCTTTTAGTGAAGAATGATTCAATCACTCATGCTCTAATGGGGGAATATAAATTGATGTAACTTAACAAGAAGGTAACTTATAGCAACATGTTATTATGAAGCTGAAAATTTCATATCTTTTGACCTGGTGCTCTTTTTCTAGGAATCTGAAGGAATTAGTGATGCAAGGAAATATTTACATATCAGGATTTTGTTGTAACATTATTATTATTATTATTTGAGACAGAGTCTTGTTCTGTAATCCAGGCTGGAGTGCAGTGGCATGATCTTGGCTCACTGCAACCTCGCCTCCTGGGTTCAAGCAATTCTCCTGCCTCAGCCGCTTGAATAGCTGGGATTACAGGTATGCACTAACACGCCTAGCTAATTTTTGTATTTTATTTTGTAGAGACAGCGTTTCACCACTTTGACCATGATGGTCTTGATCTCCTGACCTCGTGATCTGCCTGCCTCAGCCCGCAAAGTGCTGAGATTACAGATGTGAGCCACTATGCCTGGCCTGTAACATTATTTATAGTAGTATATAATTGAATAAAATCTTGTCTCTCTCAGCAGGTTACATGGGTAAATAAATTATGATAATGTATAGATCTCACAAATGAGATCTAACAAATATTAAAATATATGTACAGTATTATGGAAGAATGTTTACAATATAAAAAAAAATTTTTTTTTTCAAAGAGCATTTCTAGGAAGCTCCAATTCCTAACACAATCCTTTAACAATAACAACTCCTTGCAGTATTTTTTTCCTTGTCACGCACTAGTAGAAATATTTGGCTTTGTTTCTTTTTTTCTTTATTTTTTTCGAGATGGAGTTTCACTCTTGTTGCCCTGGCTCAAGTGCAATAGCACAATCTTGGCTCACTGCAACATCCACCTCCCAGGTTCAAGCAATTCTCCTACCTCAGCCACCCAAGTAGCTGGTATTACAGGCACCTACCACCACACCTGGCTAGTTTTGTATTTTTAGTAGAGACGGGGTTTCTTCATGTTGGTCAGACTGGTCTCGAACTCCCAGCCTCAGGCGATCCACCCACCTCGGCCTCCAAAAGTGCTGGGATTACAGACGTGAGCCACCACACCCAGCACAATATTTAAAATTTTAAGAATCAGCATATAAATAGACCCCTATTTTGTTTTAAACAAAACCCAAAAAACGTGTATTTGCACATGAGAAAGAGACCATGACCAGAATATTTGATAGTGTTTATCTGTAGGTAGTTTTTTTCCACAAAGTGCTTATAATCAGCATATGTTATTTTACTCAAACTATTTCTTTTTTTTTTTTTTTTTTTTTTTTTTTTTGAGACGGAGTTTTGCTCTTGTTACCCAGGCTGGAGTGCAATGGCGCGTTCTCGGCTCACCGCAACCTCCGCCTCCTGGGTTCAGGCAATTCTCCTGCCTCAGCCTCCTGAGTAGCTGGGATTACAGGCACGCACCACCATGCCCAGCTAATTTTTTGTATTTTTAGTAGAGATGGGGTTTCACCATGTTGACCAGGATGGTCTAGATCTCTCGACCTCGTGATCCGCCCGCCTCGGCCTCCCAAAGTGCTGGGATTACAAGCTTGAGCCACCGCGCCCAGCCTCAAACTATTTCTTAAATGTTTTTGAAGAGTTTTAATAACATTAGAGAATGTACACAAGGGCATAGTGGTTCATGCCTGTAATCCCAACAGTTCGAGGGGCCAGTGGGAGAGGATTACTTGAGGCCAGAAGTTTGAGACTAGGCAGGACAACATAGCAAGACCCTGTTTCTATAAAAAAGAGGTTTTTTTGAGACAGAGTCTCTCTCTGTTGTCCAGGTTGGAGTGCAGTGGTACACACACAGCTCAGTGCAGCCTTGATCTAGGTTCAAGCAGTGTTAACATCTCACCCTCCTGCATAGCTGTGACTACAGTTACATGTCACCATGCCTGGCTAATGTAAAAAAATTTTTTTTGTAGAGACAGTGTCTCACTATATTGCCTAGGCTATAAAAAATTTTTTTTAAATTAGCTGGGTGTGGTGGCTTGTGTCTATAGTCCCTGATAATGGGAGGCTGATGGAGTTTCCCTCTGTTGCCCAGGCTGTAATATAGTGGGGCAATCTTGGCTCACTGCCACCTCTGCCTCCCAGGTTCAAGCGATTCTCCTGTGAGTAGCTGGGAATACAGGCGTGCGCTAACACACCCAGCTAATTTTTGTATTTTTTTTAGTAGAGATGGGGTTTCACCATGTTGGCCAGGCTGGTCTCAAACTCCTGACCTCAAGTAATCCACTCACCTCAGCCTCTTAAGTGCTGGTATTACAGGTGCGAGCCACCGTGCCTAGACTCTTTTGTTTTTATTTTTATTTTTTGAGACAGAGTGTTGCTTTGTTGCCCATGCTGAAATGCAGTGGCAAGATCGTTGCAGCCTCAATCTTCAGGGCTCAAGCTCTCCTCCCACCTCAGCCTCGTGAGTACTTGTGGGACCACAACACACAACACCATGCCTGGCAAATTTTTAAAATTTTTTGGTAGAGATGAGGTCTGGCTGTCTTGTCCAGAATGATCTCAAACTCCTGGGCTCAAGCAATCCTCCCACCTCAGACTCCTAAGTAGCTAGGACTACAGCTGCACATACCACCTAATTTTGTGGTGGTGTTGTTTAGATGGAGCCTTGCTCTGTAGCCAAGGCTGGAGTGCAGTGGTGTGATTGTGGCTCACTGCAGCCTCCGCCTCCTGGGTTACAGCAATTCTCCTGCCTCAGCCTCTTGAGTAGCTGGGATTACAGGCACCTGGTACCACAACTGGTTAATTTCCGTATTTTTATTAGAAATGGGATTTTGCCATGTTGGCCAGGCTGGTCTTGAACTCCTGACCTCAGGTGATCCACCTGCCTTGGCCTCCTAAGGTGATGGGATTATAGGTGTGAGCCTCCATACCCGGCCAGACCTGGCTAATTTTTAAATTTTTTGTAGAGACGGGGTTTTGCTGTGTTGCCCAGTCTGCTCTCAAACTCCTGGACTCAAGTGATCTACCTGCCTTGGCCTCTCAAAGTACTAGGATTACAGGCATGAGCCACCATGGCCACCTGTTGCTTTATTTTATTTTGTTATTTTTATTTTTATTTTTATTATTTGTTTTTCAGACAAGAGTCTCACTCTGTTGCTTAGACTGGAGTGTATTGGCATGATCTCAGCTCACTACTACCTCCACCTCCCAGGTTCAAGCGATTCTCCTACCTCAGTCTCTCAAATAGCTTGGATTATAGGTGCCTGCCACCATCCCTGGCTGATTTTTGTATTTTTAGTAGAGACTGGGTTTCACCCATGGCCAGGCTGGTCTCAAACTCCTGACCTCAAGTGATCTGCCCACCTGGGCCTCCCAAAGTGCTGGGAGCACAGGTATGAGTCAGCACACCTGGCCTGTTGCTTTTTTTAAATACATGGTATTTAAACTTGGAAAATGACAAAAGGCGATTTCTCTGTTATTTCCTATTTCTTTTTGGAACATTTCAGAAAACAATGATAACCTTAATTTGGGGACTGTAAATGATTATCTTTTATCTATTAAAAGAAATGAAGCTCTGTCTATTGGCTTATGTACAAACTAACATTGAGGGATTCTTGACCTCACTATTCAAAATGACTTGTGTGAGCTGATTAAACTACTTGTTAAATGTTCCCTGTTTCTTTTACTTGAAAAAATATACATTAACACAGATTATTCTATGGAATTTGTGTTGAGCTACCATAGAAACAGGAGGAATGTCACAAGTTATTTATTCTGCCTCTGTTATCTGATAGTAGCAAATGAGATATTTAGTAAACGAGACCATTCATAGCATCCTTACCACATTTCTGAATACTGGCACTTCCATTAAAGAAATAAAATGTCAGGTGCGGTGGCTCACCCTGTAATCCCAGCACTTTGGGAGGCCGAAGCAGGCAGATCACAAGGTCAGGAGGTTGAGATCAGCCTGACCAACATGATGAAACCCTGTCTTTACTAAAAATACAAAAATTAGCCAGGTGTGGTGGTGAGTGCCAGTAATTCCAGCTACTCAGAAGCTGAAGCAGAAGAATCGCTTGAACCCAGGAGGCAGAGGTTGCAGTGAGCCAAGATCATACCACTGCACTCTGGCCTTGGTGCATGCCATTATGCCTGGCTAATTTTTTTGTATTTTTAGTAGAGACAGGGTTTCGCCATGTTGGCCACACTGGTCATGAACTCCTTACCTCAGACAATCCACCCTCCTCGGCTTCCCAGAGTGCTGGGATTACAGGCGTGAGCCACTGTGCCCAGCCTATTTATTTATTTATTTATTTATTTTTGAGATAGGGTCTCACCCTGTCACCCAGGCTGGAATGCAGTCGCGTGATTATGGCTCAGTGTGGACTCAACCTCTCAGGCTCAAATGACCTACCACCTTAGCCTCCCAAAGTAGCTGGGACCACAGCCTCACGCCACTATGCCCAACTAATTTTTTTTTTTTTTTTTGAGACAGTTTTGCTGTGTTGCCCAGACTAGAGTACAGTGGTGGTGCAATCTTGCCTCATTGCACCCTTCACCTCCCAGGTTCAAGCGATTTTCATGCGTCAGTCTCCCAAGTGGCTGGTATTACAGGCATGTGCTACCAGGCAGGTTAATTTTTGTATTTTTAGTAGAGACCGAGTTTTACCATGTTGGCCAGGCTAGTCTCGAACTCCTGGCCTCAAGTGAGCTGCTCTCCTTGGCCTCCCAAAGTGCTGGGATTACAGGCATAAGCCACTGCACCTGGCCAATTTGTTATTATTATTTGTAGAGACAAGGTCTTGCTATGTTGCCTAGGCAGATCTCAAACTCCTGGGACTAAGTGATCCTCCTGCCTCAGCCTCTTAATGTGCAGGGGGGTGATTACAGGTGTGAGCCACTGTACCTTTTTGTATATATATATATGTATATATATATATATATATATATATTTTTTTTTTTTTTTTTTTTTTTTAAGACGGGGTTTCACCAGGTGATCCGCCCGCCTTGGCCTCCAAAGTGCTTGGATTATAGGCACGTGCCACCACACCTGGCCTTTTTTTTTTTTTTTAAAAGAGACAAGGTCTCACTCTGTCAGCCAGGCTAAAGTGCAGTGACACAATCGTAGTTCACTGCAGCCTCCAACTCTTTGGCTCAAAAAATCCTTCCACCTCTCCTCTTGAGTAACTAGGACTACAGGCATATGCCACCACACATCACCTTAAGACTTTTATGCATTTTACTTGGAATCAATCAAATGACCTGGGATTGAGATCTAGCTGTGTGCCACTAATTAGCTCTGTGATACTAGGCATTTCATTTAACTTTAGTCAATCGTTTGTTTATTTTTCAACAAATGTCTATTGAATACTCCTTTTGAGCTAGTCACTGGAGATAAGACAGTAAAGCAGACAAACATACTCTCTGCCTTTACAGAGCTTTCTAGGTAATGCAGATTAGATACAGTAGCATTTTATAATTTATGTAAAGGTTAAACAAGATAAATTTTAGTAAATGTGAAAGTGCTTTGTTAACTATAAAACCATATTAAATTGTATAGCCTTAACTCTCAAGTAACACTTGGCATTATTCTAGTAACAGTCATTCAGCCTCCTTACATCACAACCTATCTTCTCTAAGTTTGTCATTAATTCCCATTTCATTCAAGTAAATCTTAATTCGTTTTCTCTGCAGCAACTACTATTTATTCCCTTGCTGGAGTCAATTTCTTACACTTTTGGAAAACCCCTTGTTTGCATTCAGTGAACCATATTCTGTTTCTCAGTATGATCTCTTTAGCCTTTCATTCACTTAAAAAAAATTTTTTTAAGCATCTGGTATATGCTAGGTTAGGTGTCCCCAAACTTTTTACACAGGGGGCCAGTTCACTGTCCCTCAGACCGTTAGAGGGCCGCCACATACTGTGCTTCTCTCACTGACCACCAATGAAAGAGGTGCCCCTTCCTGAAGTTCGGAGGGGGGCCGGATAAATCGCCTCAGGGGGCCGCATGTGGCCCGTGGGCTGTAGTTTGGGGACGCCTGTGGTAGGTGTTAGGAATACAGAGCAGACAAACCGTGCCCTAAGAGTCTTTGTAAATCTATCTGGAATACAAACTTTAGACACATAGTTAAGTGGAATAAATGTTATAAAAAAGAAAATGAAGCCCTTGGAAAAGAGAGTGGTATACATAGTTTAAGTATTTAATAGTTTCTCATATGTTGATTCTTGGTTATTCCTAATACTAAAAACTAACATTGTGCTGAGTATGGCGGCTCATACCTGTAATCCCAGCACTTTGGGAGGCTGAGGTGGACGGATTGCTTGAGTCCAGGAGTTTGAGATCAGCCTGGGCAATGCGGCGAAACCCTGTCTCTATAAAAAAATACAAAAAACTAGCTGGTTGTTGTGGTGTCTGTAGTACCAGCTACTTGGGAGGCTGAGGTGGGAGGCTTACCTGAGCCCAGGAGGAGGAGGTTGCAGTGAGCCAAGATTGCACCACTGCACTCCAGCCTGGGCAACAGAACGAGACACTGTCTCAAAACAGACAGACAAACAAAAAATGAGCATTGTATGGCATTTTATCGTAATTGAAGGTAGAGACCCTGTCTTACTCTCCCCAGTGCCTCAGTAAATGTTTGTTACATGCATATAACCTTATGTTAAAAGCATAGACTTTATTTGTTGTTGTTGCTTGTTTTTTTTCTTTCCAATTTTTATTTTAGGTTCATGTGTAAGTTTGTTCCATGGATAAATTACATGTCTTGGGGGCTTGGTATGTAGATAATTTTGTCCCCCAGATAATCGGTATAATGCCCGATAGGTAATTTTTCTTTCTTTCTTTCTTTCTTTTTTCCTTTTTTTTTTTTTTTTGAGACAGAGTCTTACTGTCACCTAGGCTGGAGTGCATTGGTGCAATTTCGGCTCACTGCAACCTCTGCCTCCTGGGTTCAAGTGATTCTCCTGCCTCAGCCTCCCAAGTAGCTGGGATTACAGGCGTCCACCACGACGCCCAGATAATTTTTTTTGTACTTTTAGTACAGACAGGGTTTTCGTGTGTTGGCCAGGCTGGTCTCGAACTCCTGACCTCAAGTGGTCCACCTGCCTCGGCCTCCCAAAGTGCAGGGATTACACCCGTGAGCCACCATGCCTGGCCGTAATTTTGCAGTTCTTACTTTCCTCCTACCCTCCATTCTAAGTGTATCCATGCTTTCTTTGTGTCCATATGTATGCAGTGTTTAGCTGCCACTTATAAGTGAAAACGTGATATTTGGTTTTCTGTTCTTGTGTTAATTTGCTTAGAATCATGGCCTCCAGCCCCATTTATGTTGTTCTAAAGCACATGATTTTCTTCTTGTTTTTTTTTTTTTTGAGACAGAGTCTTGCTTTGTTGCCAGGCGCCAGGCTGGAGTACAGTGGCACGATCTCGGCTCACTGCAACCTCCACCTCCTGGGTTCAAGCAATTCTCCTGCCTCAGCCTCCCGAGTAGCTGGGACTACAGGCATGTGCCACCACGCCCAACTAATTTTTGTGTGTGTGGTTTTTTTTTAGACGGAGTTTCTCTCTTTTTTTTTTTTTTTTTTTTTGAGACAGAGTTTCGCTCTTGTTACCCAGGCTGGAGTGCAATGGCGCGATCTCAGCTCACCGCAACCTCCGCCTCCTGGGTTCAGGCAATTCTCCTGCCGCAGCCTCCTGAGTAGCTGGGATTACAGGCACGAGCCATCATGCCCAGCTAATTTTTTGTATTTTTAGTACAGACGGAGTTTCACTGTGTTGACCAGGATGGTCTCGATCTCTTGACCTCGTGATCCACCCGCCTCGGCCTCCCAAAGTTCTGGGATTACAGGCTTGAGCCACCGCGCCCGGCCTGCAGTTTTTGTATTTTTAGTAGAGACAGGGTTTCACTATGTTGGCCAGGATGGTCTCGATCTCTTGACCTTGTGATCTGCCCGACTCGGCCTCCCAAAGTGCTGGGATTTTCTTCTTTTTTATGGCAAAAGCATGGACTTTGATGTCAACCCCTACCTTGCAACTTGCTTGACCATACAACTTATGGACAAGTTACTTAAACTTTGATTCTGTTTCCTTAATATGAAAATAAGAAAAATAATAATATCTACCACATCGGATTGTAGTGAGGATTAAATGAGGATATAAAGCAATTAATGCTGCATCTGGTTTATTTTAAGTTTTTCATAAATGTGTTAGGTATTGTTATCATTTAAATTTTGTGCTCTTTACACAAATCCTTGGTTGTCTTTTTTAGCATTTGTCTACTCTGCAAGCATCAAACTATCAGTGAAATCAAATAGAACACTTTTTGAATATGGTAAGCCAATGTTTGTTTTTATTTTATTGGCCATTTTGTCTTCCTACTTCTCTAGGGATAGTGAACATAGGTGTGAATAATGTCCAGGAGTTGATTGTTGCAGCAGACATGCTACAGTTGACTGAAGTTGTTCATCTTTGCTGTGAATTTCTGAAAGGACAAATTGATCCGCTGAACTGCATTGGGATCTTTCAGTTCTCTGAGCAGATTGCCTGCCATGATCTATTGGAATTCTCAGAAAACTACATTCACGTCCATTTCTTAGAGGTTCATAGTGGGGAAGAGTTCCTGGCACTTACAAAAGATCAGCTGATCAAAATTTTGCGAAGTGAAGAGCTTAGCATTGAGGATGAATACCAGGTCTTCTTAGCTGCAATGCAATGGATTCTGAAAGATTTGGGAAAAAGAAGAAAACATGTGGTGGAAGTGCTAGACCCAATTCGATTCCCTTTATTACCTCCTCAGAGGCTTTTAAAGTATATAGAAGGTACCTTTTTTTTGCTATATATCAATTAGTTGATTAATTATCCAGTGATGTGTTCTCTGAAATGTGGGAGAGTGTTTTCATTTTTTTTTGGTTCAGTAACAGACATTTATTGAATGACTACTCTTATTTTCTTCTTTTACACTTATTGAATGATTATGTAAGATACAACTTTTGTGTTTTGTGGGTGGGCAATAGTCTTTTAATATTTAATATGGGTAATATTTTAAAATACCCATTATTTTTATCAAACTCTTTCTTGAGATTGATTACTAAGGCAAATTAGTGTTATATATAAAATTACTGACAGAGCTACCATAACAACTGCTATTGACAGAACTTCTTCTGTGTAAGATTTCCCCTTGCTACTCTGAAAATTAAGCAAAACCTAATACTTGAAGAAAATGCATACACTAAAAATAAAAAAACTCAATGAATCCTATAAGTTCTTTCATTATAAAATAAATTTGGTATTAATACACTATTATAGCCTCTGAGTAGCCTTTGAATTATCTTTAGATGCTAAACTTAATTCTGAAAATTTATTTTACCATAATAAGAAAGTTTTTATCTTTATATTAGAAAAATTATATTTAAATTTATTTCTAAGAATTACTTTAAGCCAGGTGCAGTGGCTCATGCCTGTAATTCCAGTACTTTAGGAGGCCAAGGCAGGCAGATCGCTTTAGCCCAGGAATTTAAGACCAGCCTGGGCAACATGGTGAAACCCTGTCTCTACAACAACAAAAGCAAAAAATTAGTGAGGTATTGGGGCATGCACCTATAGTCCCAGCTACCTGGAAGGCTGAGGTGGGAGGATCACCTGAGCGCAGGGGCCCCAGTGAGCCAGGATCATGCCACTGTTCTCCAGCCTACTTTAGACTTGGTTTTGAGATTTGAAGTTTTTACTGTTGTCATGCACTGAAACATTACATTGCTATTGAATTACAAATGATCTATTACAAGTTAAATGCACTACTAAACATTGAAGGTATAATTCTTTAAATACGTAATTTAAAATAATGGATTATTAGTTTTTCTCCACTCTTAGCAGTGTTAACATAATTTTGTAGGTTTTCCTGAGTGATACCTTGTTTTACTACATATATAGTTGATTGTTATTTGTAGTAATTATGTTTTACAAGTCTGCTATGAACAGAGAATTAGCAAATACTGAATGATTGCTCCTAGGGGAAATATAGGTTTATGTTCCTGCAAGCCTATAGTTAAAACATTTTTGTCACATAGTCAATATAGCCTTGTTTTATATAGGTTTATGCCTAAAAACACCTTATTGAATATGTATTATTGATTTATTAACATTGAACTCATGGCCACCAGTGATATAACTCATCCCTGAATGAAACTTTATCTAACATAGGCATTTTCTCTGTAGGGCACTTCATAGCTTTTTTGCACTTAGAGGTACTAGATAATACCTGAACATTATGGTTAGGGGCCTTTTTTTTTTTTTTTTTTTTTTTTTTTTGAGACGGAGTTTCGCCCTTGTTACCCAGGCTGGAGTGCAATGGCGCGATCTCAGCTCACCGCAACCTCCGCCTCCTGGGGTCAGGCAATTCTCCTGCTTCAGCCTCCTGAGTAGCTGGGATTACAGGCACGTGCCACCATGCCCAGCTAATTTTTTGCACTTTTAGTAGAGACGGGGTTTCACCATGTTGACCAGGATGGTCTCGATCTCTCGACCTCGTGATCCACCCGTCTCGGCCTCCCAAAGTGCTGGGATTACAGGCTTGAGCCACCGCGCCCGGCTATTAGGGGCCATTTTAAACAGCAAAATTACCAACAAAAAGCACAAAAGTGAAAAAAAAAAAAAAAGACACTAAATAGACTGTGGAAAAGACAAGTAGTCTTTTTTTTTTTTTTTTTTTTTTTGAGACGGAGTTTCGCTCTTGTTACCCAGGCTGGAGTGCAATGGCGCGATCTCGGCTCACCACAATCTCTGCCTCCTGGGTTCAGGCAATTCTCCTGCCTCAGCCTCCTGAGTAGCTGGGATTACAGGCACGCACCACCATGCCCAGCTAATTTTTTGTATTTTTAGTAGAGAAGGGGTTTCACCATGTTGACCAGGATGGTCTTGATCTCTCGACCTTGTGATCCACCTGCCTCGGCCTCCCAAAGTGCTGGGATTACAGGCTTGAGCCACCGCACCCGGCCGACAAGTAGTCTTTTAATAAGACTCTTTCTAATAAGAGTTGAAATGAGAAGGCAGAGTGAAACTTTGTTTGATCTCACCCAGAAAATGCATGTAGGGTGATTCACATTTTTTGCCACTTTATGCATGTCTGTGAATGACTGCAAAAGAACAAGTACAGCAGTCCCCCTTTACTCATGGGGGATGCATTCTGAAATCCCCCCAGTGGATGCCCGAAACTGTAGGTAATACTGAACCTAATGTACATTATGTTTTTTCCTATAAATATATACCTATGATAAAGTTTAATTTATAAATTAGACCAAGTAAGAGATTAATAATAGCTAATAATAAAGTAGAACAATTATATTGATATTCTGTAACAAAAGTTATGTGGATGTGCTCTCTCTTAAAATATTATATTGTCCTTACCCTTTTTCTGGTGATGATATGAGATGGTAAAGTGCCTACCTGATAAAATGAAGTGAGGTGAATGAGTTATGCATTGTGATATAGTGTTAGGCTATTATTGAAAACTTGTATAAAACTTAAGAATGTTTAAACAGCACCTTGAAAAAATGCACTGTAAAGAAAAATAAATAAATAAAAAATAAAACTTAAGAATTGTTGGCCAGACATAGTGGCTCATGCCTGTAATCCCAGCACTTTGGGAAGCCGAGACGGGCGGATCACTTGACATCAAGAGTTCAAGACTTGAACTCTTGGTGAAACCCTTTCACCAAGACTTGACTTGGTGAAACCCTGCCTCTACTAAAAACACAAAAATTAGCTGGGCATGGTCACGGGCACCTATAATCCCAGCTACTCGGGAGGCTGAGGCAAGAGAATCGCTTGAACCCAGGAGGCAGAGGTTGCAGTGTGCCGAGACCGCACCATTGCACTCCAGTCTGGGCAAAAAGAGCAAAACTCTGTATCAAAAAAACAAACTTAAGAATTGTTTAGGCCAGGTGAGGCAGCTCACTCCTGTAATCCCAGCACTTTGGGAGGCCAAGGAGGGTGGATCACTTGAGGTCAGGAGTTCGAAACCAGCCTGTCCAACATGGTGAAATCCTGTCTCTATTATTAAAAAAAAAAAAAAAAAAAAAAGAATTGTTTATTTCTGGGCAAGGCATGGTGGCCTCACGCCTGTAATCGCAGCACTTTGGGAGGATGAGGTGGGCAGATCACTTGAGCCCAGGACTTTGAGACCAGCCTGGGCAACATGGTGAATGAAACCTGTGTCTACAAAAAATAGAAAAATTAGCTGGATGTGGCCGGGCGCGGTGGCTCATGCCTGTAATCCCAGCACTTTGGGAGGCCGAGGCGGGTGGATCACGAGGTCAAGAGATCGAGACCATCCTGGTCAACATGGTGAAACCCCGTCTCGACTAAAAATACAAAAAATTAGCTGGGCATGGTGGCACGTGCCTGTAATCCCAGCTACTCAGGAGGCTGAGGCAGGAGAATTGCTTGAACCCAGGAGGCGGAGGTTGCGGTGAGCTGAGATCGCGCCATTGCACTCCAGCCTGGGTAACAAGGGCGAAACTCCGTCTCAAAAAAAAAAAAAAAAAAAAAAAAAAAAAAAAAAAAAAATTAGCTGGATGTGATGGCATGTGCCTGTAGACCCAGCTACTCTGGGGGTGAGGTGGGAAGGTCACTTCAACCCAGGAGGTTGAGGTTGCAGTGAGCCAAGATCGTGCCACTGCACTTAAGCCTGGGTGTCAGAGCCAGATCCTGTCTCAAAAAAAAAAAAAAAAAAAAAAAGGAATTGTTTATTTCGGGAATTTCCACTTAATATTATTGGGTAATTGAAACCATGGAAAGTAAAACCGTAGATAAGAAAGACTACTATATTAATTTTGGGGTTACAAATACATTTTAGCAAGTAGGTATATTCACAAATAAGGAATATATCTTATTCCTTATTTAATAGTGTATAGGAGGCCGGGCGCGGTGGCTCAAGCCTGTAATCCCAGCACTTTGGGAGGCCGAGGCGGGTGGATCACGAGGTCAAGGGATCGAGACCATCCTGGTCAACATGGTGAAACCCCGTCTCTACTAAAATACAAAAAAATTAGCTGGGCATGGTGGCGCGTGCCTGTCATCCCAGCTACTCAGGAGGCTGAGGCAGGAGAATTGCCTGAACCCAGGAGGCGGAGGTTGCGGTGAGCCGAGATCGCGCCATTGCACTCCAGCCTGGGTAACAAGAGCAAAACTCCGTCTCCAAAAAAAAAAAAAAAAAAAAAAAATAGTGTATAGGAATACACTATTTAAATGCTAAAACAAAAAATTATCCAGACACACATTGACATGAATCAGATGAGAATTTAGGAGTGGGACAAAAGATTTCATGATTGAGTTGATTTTTCCAAGTGTAGCAGACATAGAGTACTAATGGAAATTTCTTCTGCTAGGAGAAAGGCAATGTCCCCTAGAGATGGGGGATGTTTTCTTACAGCTTTTTAAAATTATAATTTATAAATTAGATGCAGTAGGAGTATCTAATTCAAGTCCTGAACTGTTTTCTAAGCATGCCCAGTAGTTATCTAGTAGTAGTTCAGTGAAGGAAAATATTCCAAGGAGGGAGAAGTAAATTGATTTTTTCTTTTTTTTTTTTTTTTTGACACAAAGTCTCCCTCCATCGCCAGGTGCCAGGTGCCAGGTTGGAGTGCAATGGCATGACCTCGGCTCGGCTCACTGCAACCTCTGCCTCCCAGGTTCAAGCAATTCTCCTGCCTCAGCCTCCTGAGTAGCTGGGACTATAGGCGTGTACCACCACACCCAGCTAATTTTTGTATTTTCGGTAGAGACAGGGTTTCACCATGTTGGCGAGGATGGTCTCAATCTCTTGACCTCATGATCCGCCCACCTTGGCCTCCCAAAGTGCTGGGATTACAGGCATGAGCCACCGCACTCGGCCTGATTTTTTCTTTCTTTCTTTCTTTCTTTCTTTCTTTCTTTCTTTCTTTCTTTCTTTCTTTCTTTCTCTCTCTCTCTTTCTTTTCTTTCTTTCTTTCTTTCTTTCTTTTGAGACAGAGTCTTGCTCTGTGGCCCAGGCTGAAGTGCAGTGGTGCAATCTCGGCTCACTGCAACCTCTGCCTCCCGGGTTCAAGTGATTCTCCTGCCTTAGCCTCCTGAGTAGCTGCTATTACAGGCATGCACCACCATGCCAGACTACTTTTTGTATTTTTAGTAGAGATGGGGATTCACCATACTGGTCAGTCTTCTGAACTCTTGACCTCGTGATCCACCCACCTCGGCCTCCCAAAGTGCTGGGATTACAGGTGTGAGCCACCGCACCCAGCAGTAAATTGATTTTTGTAAGGCAGCCATAATATTTTCCAACTTTAAATGTTTTCTCTTTGATTATATTGGAGAAAATATGAGCAACTTGTATACAAAAATATGAGACTATAAAATTCAGAGGGAGCAAAATCTTAAATGGTTAAGTTGTATTAGATGAACTGTATTGTTTTTTTTCCTTGTATATATATTTTTGTACTTACAACTGAAATAATTTAGGCAATTTAATATTATTAGATATTTGATTATATGTCTATTTCTTGTATTTTAGAGAATGATTTTACTTTGTCACCCAGGCTGGAGTGCAATGGCATTCTCTTGGCTCACTGCAACCTTTGCCTGCCAGGTTCAAGTGATTCTTCTGCCTCAGCCTCCGGAGTAGCTGGGATTACAGGTGCCCGCCATCATGCCCAGCTGATTTTTTGTATTTTTAGTAGAGATGGAGTTTCACTATGTTGGCCAGGCTGGCCTCAAACTCCTAACCTTGTAATCCCCCCTCCTCAGCCTCCCAAAGTGCTGGGATTATAGGCGTGAGCCACTGCACCTGGCCAATTTTACTTATCTTTAAATGGAATATGCTCATTATAAAAAGTTTAGGCGATACAGAAATATAAAAACAACGGGCCAGGCATGGTAGTCACAACTGTAATTCCAACACTTTGGGAGGCCAAATCAGGAGGATCACTTGAGGCCAGGAGTTTGAGACTAGCCTGGGCAACATAGTGAGACCATGTCTCTATAAAAATTTTTTAAAAAATTAGCCAGGTGTGGTGGTGCATGCCTGTAGTCCAGCTAGGAGGATCAATTGAGCCAAGGAGGTTGAAGCTGCAGTGAGCTGTGATCATGTCACTGTACTCTAGCCTGGGTCAGAGAACGAGACCCTGCTATTTATCTTATATCTGGGCCTACTTAACCTAGCCAGAGATGTATCCCACTTGTGTGGACTTTGGCTACCACTGTATTCTGTTAGATAGCAAATCCAGGTGATCCTTTCTGCCTTAGCTGATGGTCCTGTAAAGACTTCCTTTTAATGGTTTTTTTTTTGGAAACAGAGTCTCGCTCTGTCACCAGGCACCAGGCTGGAGTATAGTGGCGTGATCTCGGCTCACTGCAACGTCCACCTCCTGGGTTCAAGCAATTCTCCTGCCTCAGCCTCCCAAGTAGCTGGGACTACAGGCACGTGCCACCATGCCCAGCTAATTTTTGCACTTTTTTAGTAGAGACGGGGTTTCACCATGTTGGCCAGGATGGTGTTGATCTCTTGACCTCGTGATCCACCCACCTCGGCCTCCAAAAGTGCTGGGATTACAGGCATGAGCCACCGTACCTGGCCTGCTTTTGATTTTGTTCAACCTTTCTCAGTTCTGCTTTTCACTATTCAGTCTGTCTGCAAATTATTAATTATTAGTGAGAATTCTAAAGATTTTGTTAGTGGACCATTTTCCTCAATATTGCTTCTTGTCTGGGATCTAGAGACAAGGTTAGAGATGAAAGGGTAGGAGACAATCTCTTGCTAGCATGTGTAATGCCTTTGTGCAAATTAGAAAATAGTGCTCTTTCAGGGAGAACAAGTCTTGCAGCCTGGCAAATGAACACAGGTTGACTCTCATCTCCAGTTTACCTCCTCAGCTAAGCACCCTTGAGCAAGGACAACTTACCTCATATGTATGATCCTTTTAGGATATGGTACTCATTCCACCAGAATTTATTTTTCTTGCTTTGTCTATCATTCTTAAGCATTAATCATAATTTTATATCTTTTTGTTATTATATTATAAATGTAGAATTTTGGGCTGTTTTAATTTTTAAATTTTGTTAGATAATTGTGATCTTGTTTCAGTTTGCAATTGTTATTTGGAAATTCTTCTTTTTTTTTTTTTGAGACAGGGTCTTGCTCTGTCATCCGGGCTGGAGGGCAGTGGCACAGTCCTGGCTCACTGCAAACTCTGCCTCCTGAGCTCAAATGGTACTCCTACATGAACCTCCTGAGTAGCTAAAACTATAGGCATGTGCCACCACACCTGGCTAATCTGTGTATTTTTTGTAGAGACGAGGTTTTTGTCATGTTGGCCAGGCTGGTCTCTAACTCCTGGGCTCAAGCAATCCACTCCACTTGGCCTCCCAAAGTACTGAGATTACAGGCATAAGCTACCATGCTCGACCTAGAAATTCTTATACATGTGCTTTTGAATAGGATATTGTGAAGCATATTTTTTTAGTGGCTATTCTGCTTACATATGAAGCATATTTTTTAATAATAATCTTTTTTGTTCTTTATTAGTGAAGAAAATACTTTCCTTAAAATATTTAGTACCAATATTTGGTATTGTCTAGGAAACAAACACCATTGTTTGTTGATGATTTTTTTATTTCTTGATTGTTAAATGTGTCTGATCTTTATAAAAATGTGTTTTTTCAATATTCATAAGTTGTTTAAAATATTATCTTTTAAAATATTGCTTTAGGAGTATCTGATTTTAATCTTCGTGTTGCATTGCAAACACTTTTGAAAGAGTACTGTGAAGTATGCAAATCTCCCAAAGAGAATAAGTTTTGTAGTTTTCTGCAGACATCTAAGGTTCGACCTCGGAAGAAAGCAAGAAAGTACCTGTATGCAGTAGGTGAGAGCCCTTAAGTAATAGAAATTATATTTGTGTTCCAGATCAAACCTTTTTAATATTTTGTTGTTATTACTATACATGTCAGAATATGTGGGTGTGTCGAAGAGGCATATTTAATTTCACATACAGTCTGCAGATTCATAAACTGAATTTATATATTATGATAAATACATTTAAAATGAAATAGCTGTTCATTTGATATCTGTTATTCTGTGAGCTAAACCTTTGAGTTTGTAGATTACCCGGTTATCAAATAAGTGACTAAAGAAGTTCTGCTTTAAAAGTAAAAAATTTGAATTCTTATGAAAAATAAAGAAAATGAATCTCAAGTTTTTAAACTATTCACAGTATTTTAGTCATTAGGAGTGATGGGCATCAGTGATGTCCAAAGTGTGGTTGTAAAGGATCCACAGGAATATCAGAGGAACATATTAAACTTCTTTTCTTTTTTTTTCTTTTTTTTTTTTTTTTTTGAGATGGAGTTTCGCTCTTGTTACCCAGGCTGGAGTGCAATGGCGTGATCTCGGCTCACTGCAACCTCCGCCTCCTGGGTTCAAGCAATTCTCCTGCCTCAGCCTCTCGAGTAGCTGGGACTACAGGCATGCGCCACCATGCCCAGCTAATTTTTGTATTTTTAGTCGAGACAGGGTTTCACCGTGTTGACCAGGATGGTCTTGATCTCTTGACCTTGTGATCCAGCCGCCTCGGCCTCCCAAAGTGCTGGGATTCAGACGTGAGCCACCGCGCCCGGCCTTCTTTTCATTTTTATTTTTAAAAATATTTAACTGGGTGTTTAATAAATATTATAAGGCTGGGTGTTTAATAAAATATTATAAGGCTGGGTGTGGTGGCTCACACCTGTAATCCCAGCACTTTGGGAGGCTGAGGTGGGTGGATCACAAGGTCAGGAGTTCAAGACCAGCCTGGCCAGCATGGAGAAACCCCATCTTTACTAAAAATATAAAAAATTAGCCAGGCATGGTGGCACACAGCTATAGTCCCAGCTACTCAGGAGGCTGAGGCAGGAGAATTGCTTGAACCCAACAGATGGAGGTCGCCGTGAGCTGAGGTCACACCACTGAACTCCAGCCTGGGTGACAGAGTGAGACTCCGTCTCAAAAAAAAAAAAAAAAAAAAAAAATTAAACTTACATACATCTGGTTGTGGTGACTTATGGCCTGTAATCCTAGCACTTTGGGAGGCTGAGGTGGGAGGATTGCTTGAGCCTAGAAGTTTAAGACCAGCCTAGGCAACATGATGAGACCTGGTCTCTACAAAAAAATGCAAAAATTGGCTGGGCACAGTGGCTCATGCCTGTACTACCAGCACATTGGGAGGCTGAGGCAGGTGAATCACGAGGTCAGGAGTTCAAGACCAGCCTAGCCAAGGTGGTGAAACCCCGTCTCTACTAAAAATGCAAAAATTAGCTGGGCATGGTTCTGGGCGCCTGTAGTCCCCACTACCTGGGAGGCTGAGGCAGAGAACTGCTTGAACCCGGGAGGTGGAGGTTGCAGTGAGCCAAGATCACACCACTGCACTCCAGCCTGGGAGACAGAGTGAGACACAGAAAAAAAAAAAAAGAAAAAAAAATGCAGAAATTAGCCTGGTGTGGTGGGGTGTGCCTGTAGTCCCAGCTACTTGGGAAGCTGAGGTCGGGGGATCACTTGAGCTGAGGAGGCAGAGGTTGCAATGAACTGAGATTGTACCACTGCACTCCAGCCTGGGCAACAGAGCAAGACCCTGTCTCAAAAAACGAGAAAAAAAGCATTAAACTTTATCAGCATTTAAAACACATATAATATATAGATACATATACAGATTGTCCAGATCCGTATATATAATACAGTTTTCATATAAGTACTTTATATATAATTTATAATTTACATATATGTATAATTATATATATTAATATTTAAGTATAATGCTTTTGGCTACATGCTAAAATTTTTTTGCTGATTGGATGTGTAGTCAAAACAAGGATTTCATCAGGAGGCTGATGGGGGAGGATTGAGGCTACAGTGAGCTGTGATCACATCACTGCATTCCAGCCTGGGCGAGAGAGAGAGCAATAACCCTGCCTCAAACACACACACACACACACAGCTTTCAACTCACTATTTTTAACTGAAAAAGACACTAATGAAAGTTATAATGAAACTTTCCTAACTTAACAGATAAGCAATATATAGATTCATATTTTATATAATCTATTTATAACCAAGACCAAGTGGTAATACACTGAGGCTAACCTTCGGGGTTTTTTTTTGTTTGTTTTGGTTTTTTTGAGGCTAATCTTCTTACCGTATTTAAGCCACAATCATTCAGGAATTGGCACATTTAAGAATATTATATTAGCTGGGCGCGGTGGCTCAAGCCTGTAATCCCAGCACTTTGGGAGGCCGAGGCGGGTGGATCACGAGGTCGAGAGATCGAGACCATCCTGGTCAACGTGGTGAAACCCCGTCTCTACTAAAAATACAAAAAATTAGCTGGGCATGGTGGCGCGTGCCTGTAGTCCCAGCTACTCAGGAGGCTGAGGCAGGAGAATTGCCTGAACCCAGGAGGTGGAGGTTGCGGTGAGCCGAGATTGTGCCATTGCACTCCAGCCTGGGTAACAAGAGTGACACTCTGTCTCAAAAAAAAAAAAAAAAAAGAATATTATATTATGGCCAGGCACGGTGGTTCACATCTGTAAACCCAGCACTTTGGGAAGCTGAGCTGGGTGGATCACTTGAGGTCAGGAGTTCGAGACCAGCCTGGCCAACATGGCAAAACCCCAGCTCTACTAAAAATAGAAAAATTTGTCTGGTGTGGTGGTATATGCCTGTAATGCCAGCTACTTGGGAGGCTGAGACAGGAGAATCACTTGAACCCAGGAGGCAGAGGTTGCAGTGAGCCAAGATCGCACCATTGCACTCCAGCCTGGGTAACAAAGTGAGACTCCATCTCAAAAAAAAAAAAAGAATATTACATTATAAGTATATAGAGAAAGTAAACTCTAAACCATTTATTTCTTGCTATATAATAGTTAAACTAAAAAAAATAGTTAAACTAAATGTTTACATGTAGAATGCTAGATTTTCAGTACTACCATTTTTATATTTAATAGTAAGGGATTTGCTGTGTAATCCCTTTTCTTCTTTTGTTTAGGTGGATATACTCGGTTACAGGGGGGTCGTTGGAGTGACAGCAGAGCCCTCAGCTGTGTAGAACGTTTTGACACCTTTAGCCAATACTGGACTACTGTGTCTTCACTTCATCAGGCTCGAAGTGGGCTGGGAGTAACAGTTCTGGGAGGGATGGTCTACGCTATTGGAGGTAATAATAAAAATGTCTTATTTTCCTTATTTATCTTGTTAACTATATTCTAATATGCTTTATATATTGCTATGTGATATACATGTATCTCATTGTCCTTAATAAGTATTTACTAAAGAAAGAAGAAAGAAAGAAGAAACACAAGTTGTTGAATATTTCATATCAGATACTGTGATTTATCACAGCCAGAATAATTAGGTTTGGTTTTAATGAAAAGTTGTGGCTGGATGCTCACACCCATAATCCCAGCACTTTTGGAGGCCAAGGCAGGAGGATCGCTTGAGCCCAGGACTTAGAGATCAGCCTGGGCAATATAGTGAGACTGTCTCTACAAAAACTTTAAAATAGTGTGGTGGCACATTCCTGTAGTTCCAGCTGTTTGTGAGGATGATGTGGGAAGATCTCTTGAGCCCAGGAGTCAAAGGTTGCAGTGAGCCGTGATTGTGCCACCGTACTCCAGCCTGGGTGACAGAGAAAGACCTTCTCTCAAAAAAGAAAAGAAAAGTTGTTTATAAAATGTGACATCTGGCCAGGTGCAGTGGCTCACACCTGTAATCCTAGCACTTTGGAAGTACAAGAGAGGAGATCACTTGAGATCAGGAGTTCAAGACCAGCCTGGCCAAAATGGTGAAACCCTGTCTCTACTAAAAATACAAAAAAATTAGCCAGCTGTGGTGACAGTCATCTATAATTTCAGCTACTTGGGAGGCTGAGGCAGGAGAATGTGGGAGGTGGAGGTTGTAGTGAGCCAAGATCGCACCATTGCACTCCAGCCTCGGCAACGAGAGAAAGTCCATCTAAAAAAAATTAAAATGTGGCCGGTCGCGGTGGCGCATGCCTGTAGTCCCAGCTACTTGAGAGGCTGAGGCTGGAGGATCTCTTGAGTCCAGGAGTTCTGGGCTGTAGTGTGCTATGCCGATGGGGTGTCCACTATTATTTATTATTGAAATTTCTTAAATTCTGAAAGCTGCATTATGATTCATTTTTAATAAACCAAGTTGTATGGATACTGGATATTTAAAAATCAAGTCAACAAGTCTTTTTTTTCTTCTTCTTATTCGCTTTTTACTTCTTCCTTTTCAGGTAATTCGGGTAGCTTGCATTGGAAAGTAGGATATATTTCTTGATTGAAATCATGGTGTTTTGTAAAACTAATTTTTTTTTGAAATGGAGTTTTCCTCTGTCACCAGGCTGGAGTGCAGTGGTGTGATCTCAGCTCACGGCAATCTCTGCCTCCCGGGTTCAAGTGATTCTCCTGCCTCAGCCTCCCGAGTAGCTGGAATTACAGCCAGGCACCACCATGCCCAGCTAATTTTGTGTTTTTTAAGTAGAGACGGGGTTTCACCATGTTGGCCAGGATGGTCTCAATCCCCTGACCTCATGATTCGCCTGCCTTAGCCTCCCAAAATGCTGGATTATAGGCATGAGCCACTGCACCCAGCCATGTAAAACTATTTTTATGAATTATGAAATAATAAAGTAACTTTGACTACAGGCATGCATCACCATGCTTGGCTCATTACAAATTTTTATTTTTTATAGTTGGGGGTCTCACTATCTTGCCCAGGCTGGTCTTGAACTCCTGAGCTCAAATGATTCTCTTGCCTCAGCCTCCCAAAGTGCTGGGATTACAGATGTGAGCCATGGCATCCAGCCTGTATATTAAAAAAATTATAATTATTTTATTTTTACTTTATTTATATATATTGTTAGTGGGCCAGGGTTTGGTAAGCCATCTCTGTTCAAAAATTTTATAAATATTTTCTAACCATGAGGTACTGTCAGTTTAAATTATGAGAGATGTAGGAACTGTTTGATTTTTGTTTTTAGTTTAAAGGATATATAACTCAGAACTATTTATTAAATCAAGAAATGACATGTGCATCAGAAAATTCCAACAAAGAAATTAGAATTTTAAGCAATACATTTCTATCTGCATAAAGACCACAATTCTATATAGACTTTGACTACAACTGTTATAATGCTTTTGACATATTTTTTTGTCAATTGTGCATAGTTTTATCACTTGAACTCTTCTGTTTAACTTAGGGTCACAGTGTCCTTGTGTGACAGTTACGTATGTATGTATTCCCTCTCCAGATATCACAAAAGTGCTTACAGAGGCTCTTCAAAACTGCTGTGACTTTGCTAGCTGTTAATACTGTCAACATTGCTGTCTTAAGATATTCCTAGGCCGGGCGCGGTGGCTCAAGCCTGTAATCCCAGCACTTTGGGAGGCCGAGGCGGGTGGATCACGAGGTCAAGAGATCGAGACCATCCTGGTCAACATGGTGAAACCCCGTCTCTACTAAAAATACAAAAAATTAGCTGGGCATAGTTGTGCGTGCCTGTAATCCCAGCTACTCAGGAGGCTGAGGCAGGAGAATTGCCTGAACCCAGGAGGCGGAGGTTGCGGTGAGCCGAGATTGCGCCATTGCACTCCAACCTGGGTAACAAGAGCGAAACTCCGTCTCAAAAAAAAAAAAAAAGATATTCCTAAATATATAACTTTGAAATAATTTTTTTTTTTCTGAGACGGAGTGTCGCTCTGTTGCCCAGACTGGAGTGCAGTGGTGTGATCTCAGCTCACTGCAACGTCCACCTCCTTGGTTCAAACGATTCACTTGCCTCAGCCTCCTGAGTAGCTGGGACTACAGATGCGTGTCACCATGCCCATCTAATTTTTGTATTTTTAGAAGAGACGGGGTTTCACCATGTTGGCCAGGATGGTCTCAATCTCTTGACCTCATGATCCACCTGCCTCAGCCTCCCAAAGTGCTGGGATTACAGGCATGAGCCACTGCACCCAGCCTAAATACTTTTAAAATTATAAAAGTAGTTCAGGTTTGTTTTACTTTTCATTTAATTTTTTTTTTTTTTTTGAGAGGGAGTTTCGCTCTTGTTACCCAGGCTGGAGTGCAATGGTGCAATCTCGGCTCACTGTGACCTCCGCCTCCTGGGTTCAGGCAATTCTCCTGCCTCAGCCTCCTGAGTAGCTGGTAATACAGGCACGCACCACCATGCCCAGCTACTTTTTTGTATTTTTAGTAGAGACGGGGTTTCACCGTGTTGACCAGGATGGTCTCGATCTCTTGACCTCGTGATCCACCCGCCTCAGCCTCCCAAAGTGCTGGGATTACAGGCTTGAGCCACCACGCCTGGCCTTTTTTTTTTTTTTTTTTTTTTGAGATGAAGTCTCACTCTGTCACCCAGGCTGGAGTGCCTTGGTGCTATCTCAGCTCATTGCAACCTCTGCCTCCTGAGTTCAAGTGATTCTCCTGTCTCAGCCTTCCAAGTAGCTCCCCCGAGTAGCTGGCACTACAGGCATATGTCAACATGCTTGGCTAATTTTTCTGCATTTTTAGCATAGATGTGGTTTCACCACGTTGGTCAGGCTGGTTTCAAACGTCTGACCTCAAATAATCTGCCCACCTCGATCTCCCAAAGTGCTGGGATTACAGGCATTAGCCACTGTTGTGCTTTCTTAAGCATAGGTAAGAAATTCATCAGCAATATGATTTGTTATGTCTCTATCCTGATTGAACTCAGGATCCTCTAGGTTTCTTCCCAGAACTCCCAGTGCAGTTTGTAGTATGACAATTTAGTACTTAATTATTTTAGCTGAATAGTGTTTGCTGATTAATTCTTGTCTGCCCAAATGGTTGTAATCTTTAAAACATAAGAACCATTTTTTTAGCTTTTCTTTTTTTTTCTTTTTGAGATGGAGTTTCGGTTTGTTGCCCAGGCTGGAGTGCAATGGCATGATCTCGGTTCACCACAACCTCTGCCTCCCAGGTTCAAGCGATTCTTCTGCCTCAGCCTCCTGAGTAGCTGGGATGACAAGCATGTGCCACCACACCCGGCTAATTTTGTATTTTTTGTAGAGACGGGGTTTCTCCATGTTGGTCAGACTCAGGTGATCCATCCGCCTGCCTTGGCCTTCCAAAGTGCTGGGATTACAGGTGTGAGCTACTGCACCTAGCTTTTTAGCTTTTCTTTATCTGGAATATATTAGGTGCTCAATAAGCCCCTTATGCTCAATAAACGTAATTGTTGTTGATTGTATTCATAAGGTTTACATTTTTTCTTTTCTTTTCTTTTCTTTTTTTTTTTTTGGAGACAGAGTCTTGCTCTTTTGCCTAAGCTAGAGTGCAGTGGCTCGATCTCGGCTCCCTGCAACCTCTGCCTCCCTGCAACCTCTGCCTCCCAGGCTCAAGCAATTTTCCCATCTCAACCTCCCAAGCAGCTGGGATTACAGGTGCTGGCCACCATGCCCAGCTAATTTTTTATGTTTTTAGCAGAGATGGTGTTACCATGTTGCCCAGGCTGGTCTTGAACTCCTGCACTCAGGCAGTCCTCCCGCCTTGGCCTTCCTAACTTCACTTTTACAAAGTGAAAGTTTATATTTTAAATTTTGGGATGTGGAATATAACACATTAATACATGTAAAAAGTATATGAATGTATCTACAGTTTGATAATTAGTTGAAGAAACTTTTACGATAATCATTTCCTTTTGTTTCTTTATACTTTTCACCTCCTATGTAGACTTCCCTAAGCAGTATACTTGAGACATTTGTCGTTTTTGAACTCTATCTAAATGAATTATATAAATATTCTTGCTTTGTTTTATCGAACATTGTGTCTCTGATATTTGTGCATCTTGTTTCTGTTTCTTTCTTTCTTTTTTTTTTTTTGAGACAGTTTTGCTCTTGTTGCACAGGCTGGAGTACAATGGTGTGATTTTGTATTTTTAGTAGAGACAGGCTTTCTCCGTGTTTGTCAGGCTAGTCTCAAACTCCTGACCTCAGGTAATCCACCTACGTAGGCCCCTCAAAGTGCTGGGATTACAGGCATGAGCTACCATGCCCAGCCTGCATCTTGTTTCTTTCATGTAGTCATTGCTGTACAGTGTCCTATTGTACACTGTGTAGTATACCAAAATTTATTTATTATTATTTTTTATTTTTTGAGACACGGAATCTCGCTCTGTCACGCAGGCTGGAGTGCAGTGACACAATGTCAACTCACTGCAACTTCTGCTTCCCAGGTTCAAGTGATTATCCTCCCTCAGCCTTCCAAGTAGCTGGGATTACAGGCGTGTGCCATGATGCCCAGCTAATTTTTGTATTTTTAGTAGAGACTGGTTCACCATGTTTGCCAGGCTGGTCTCGAACTCCTGACCCCAGGTGATCCACCCACCTCAGACTCCCAAAGTGCTGGGATTACAAGTGTGAGCCACTGCGCCCGGCTGGAGTATACCAAAATTTATATATTCATTCTATTATCATGAGACATTTGGATTATTTTAACTTACCTACTTGACTTAGCCATTCTAAGTAATTGGTAGACATTTGGACTATTTCTCCCTTCTGACTGTGAACAACAATGCTGCTGTCAAAATATTTGTACATACTAGCAGATGCCCTGTGTGTGAGTTTTTCTAGATATATATACCTAGGAGTAAAATCAATGGTTTCTGTAGCTAGGAGTGGGTCATAATCCATTCAGGTCTTTACTTTTAATAGATAATGCCAAACTTTTAAGAAAGTGCCTGTATATACTTCATCCAATTTTTTTGTCAACTCTTGATACTATCAAACTTTCACATTTTTGCCTGTTGGTGACAATATAGTGATATCTTATTATGGTTTTAATTTGCATTTCCCTGATAAATATGACATTGAGCACTTTTTCATTTTTTTCTGGTCATTTAGATTTTTTCTTTCAAGAATTAACTTTTAAAATCTTTGGTCAATTTAAAAAATTGTCTGTTTTGTTGATTTGTAGGTACATCAGGGTCCCCAAGACCACCCCCAGGTTTAGTGATTTGCCTAAAGTACTTGCAAAATTTAGCATGTAATTGTATCCACAGCTAAGATTTATTATAGTGAAATGTACAAAACAAAATCAGCAAAAGGAAAAGTTGCACATGTGATGAAGTCTGCAAGGAAACTGTTGGCAGCTTTCCAGAGTCCTCACCCAGTAGAGTCATACATGACATGCGTAATTCCACAGCAATTAGTTGTAACAACATCTGGGAAGTGTTGTCTACCAGGGAAGCTCATTAGAGACATAGTGCCTAAGGTTTTTGTTGGCAGCTGATCACATAGCCTCTTTCTTCCTAGCACATACCCAAATTCCAGACCCTCAGAAGGAAAGCATGTGTTCATCATAAACCACATTGTTTGTACAGTTTAAGCACAGGGAGCCACTCTTACCATTTTGGGAAAATTTTATTTCATTGTGGGGAACTGTTAACCAGCCATGTTCCCAGATTCCAGCAAAGGGTCAACTTTGCAATAGGCCTTTCTTTTTTTATTTTTATTTTTATTTTTATTTTTATTTTTATTTTTATTTTTTAGACGGAGTTTCGCTCTTGTTACCCAGGCTGGAGTGCAATGGTGCGATCTCGGCTCACCGCAACCTCTGCCTCCTGGGTTCAGGCAATTCTCCTGCCTCAGCCTCCTGAGTAGCTGGGATTACAGGCACACGCCACCATGCCCAGCTAATGCAATAGGCCTTTCTAAGGACAGTCAGTTTTAGGCCTGCTATGTTAACTATTTTATGTACAATAGGAATTTTGTTTATATTCCGGATTCTAGGCCCTCATAAAGTCATATATATATGACTATATAAATGCTATAAATATCTTCTTCTACTCTGCTGTTTCATCTTTTGTTCTCTTTATGGTATCCTTTGATGAACAGATGTTTTAAATTTTAATGTAGTCAAATCTCTTATTTTTTTCCCCTTTATGGTTAATGTTTCTTGCACCCTATTTAAGACATCCTTCCATATTCCAAAGTCATAAGGATCTATCCCTTCTTTGTTTTATACAGTTTTATAGTTTTTCCATCCCCCTTTATGTCAGTAATCTACCTAGAATTGAGTTTTTATGGATAATATGCAGTAGGAAATTCATTTCATTTTCCTCCTGATGTATAATCAATTATCCTAGCATGAAAGAATGTTGTTTCCCCACTGCTCTGTAGTGCCAACTCTGTCTTCTATCAAGTAATCGTATATGTATGTCTCTGTTTTTAGAATCTTTTTTTCTGTTCCATTAGTCTCTCTGTCTATCCCTTTCTTAATTACTATAGTTTTGTTATGTGTCTTGATATATGATGGGACTGTTTCTCTCTCCTTATTCTTTTCTGAGAATGCTTGGCTGTTCTAGGTCCTTTGTGCTTTTATATGAATTTTAGAATTAGTTTGTCAAATCTGTTAAAAAATGGATTTTTTTGGATTGGGAATACATTAAATCTATAAATCAATGTGGGGATAACTATCATCTTTACACTGACTTTTTTAATAGAATAATCTTCATGGACTTCCGCTGCTCCACTCTGGGCAAGTTGACTTCATGGTTGTAAATTAGTGGTTAAGGTTCGATATTATTGCCCCTTTTCCAGCCCTGAAGGCTGTTTTGGAACCAAGTGTCTCTGGTTTCGCGGGTGACTGGCTTTTTTTTTTTTTTTTTTTTTTTTTGGCAAGTCAGTCATTCGAATTTCTGGTATTAAAAAAAAAAAAAAACCTCTGGCGGTACGGTAGCTGAGGAGGTTCCAGTGCGGCGGAAGTACCCCGCGGGTGGGTGTGTGCGCGCGCAAGGCCGGGACCAGAGGTGCACGTGGCGCCGGGAGTAAAGAGAATGTCTTTTCGAGGCGGAGGTCGTGGAGGCTTTAATCGAGGTGGTGGAGGTGGCGGCTTCAGCCGTGGCAGCAGCAGCAACCACTTCCGAGGTGGAGGTGGAGGCGGTGGCGGAGGCGGCGGCAATTTCAGAGGCGGCGGCAGGGGAGGATTTGGACGAGGGGGTGGCCGCGGAGGCTTTAACAAAGGCCAAGACCAAGGACCTCCAGAACGTGTAGTCTTATTAGGAGAGTTCCTGCATCCCTGTGAAGATGACATAGTTTGTAAATGTACCACAGATGAAAATAAAGTGCCTTATTTCAATGCCCCTGTTTACTTAGAAAACAAAGAACAAATTGGAAAAGTGGATGAAATATTTGGACAACTTAGAGATTTTTATTTTTCAGTTAAATTGTCAGAAAATATGAAGGCTTCATCCTTTAAAAAACTACAGAAGTTTTATATAGACCCGTATAAGCTGCTGCCACTGCAGAGGTTTTTACCTCGACCTCCTGGTGAGAAAGGACCTCCAAGAGGTGGTGGCAGGGGAGGCCGAGGAGGAGGCCGAGGAGGAGGTGGCAGAGGTGGTGGCAGAGGCGGTGGTTTTAGAGGTGGAAGAGGAGGTGGAGGTGGGGGCTTCCGAGGAGGAAGAGGGGGTGGTGGTTTCAGAGGGAGAGGACATTAAGTGAAATAGTTGGCAGACATCACCAGTTGACTTCTGCATAAACCTGCATGATCTGTTTCTACTGTGGATTGGAAACTTGTTTCTTGAGCAAGTCTTGAAGATCTTGGTTGTTTTATGACAATGGATCTAAAATGTCAGCATTACACCAAGTGCAACGGAATAGTGGATTTTGCTCTAAAAGAGCATGAACAAATCTTTTTAATGTTTTGTATAGTGCCTGGCACTCTGTGGGTGCTTAATAAATGGACAGGAGTTTTCATTTGAAGCATATTTGAATTTTTAAAATAAAGTGTTTATTCCCTGAAAAAAAAAAAAAAAAAAAAAAAAAAAAGAATAATCTTCATGATCCATTGACTCTTATAATTCATGAACATTATTTATTTAGATGTTCCATAATTTAAAGTTTTATCTAAATAAAATTTACAAATGTTATCCAAAGAGGCATTGCGTAATCTTTGGTTAGATTTACTCTTTTTTTTTTTTTTTTTTGAGACGGAATTTTTTGCTCTTGTTACCCAGGCTGGAGTGCAATGGCACGATCTCGGCCCACCACAACCTCCGCCTCCTGGGTTCAAGCAATTCTCCTGCCTCAGCCTCCTCAGTAGCTGGAATTACAGGCACGTGCCACCATGCCCAGCTAATTTTTTGTATTTTTAGTAGAGACGGGGTTTCACCATGTTGACCAGGATGGTCTCGATCTGTCGACCTCGTGATCCACCCGCCTCGGCCTCCCAAAGTGCTGGGATTACAGGCTTGAGCCACCGCGCCCGGCCTTGATTTACTCTTAAATATCTTATTTTAAAATTCCAAATTAGCTGGACATAGTGGCATATGCTCATAGTCCTATCTACTTGGGAGGCTGAGGCAGGAGGATCACTTGAGCCCAGGAGTTCAAGGCTTTAGTGAGCAATGATTGTACCATTGCACTCTAGCCTAGGTGACAGAGCCAGACTCTGTCTCTAAAAATAAATAAATAAATACCAAAAATGAAAATTCAGGTATCTTTTTAAAAAAGTTTCATTTTCTGTTTGTTAGAAAAGGATTACATTTAAACTCAAATTGTACCAGGGCCAGCCACCCAAACTAATACATGAAAAAAATATAGAAGTGTTAAAATGTAAATTGTGTCCTAAAAAAATTACATGGATTGCGTGGGTGGTAGAAATAGATAACAGGAAAATTGTGCCTCTGTTTCATAAGTGGGCTTTAATAAATGACAGTAAAATAGATCATAATAATGCTTAATAGGCAAATGAAAGTTAATGAATAGTATAAAATCAGACATAATGGTTGCATTTTTGACAATAAAGAATACTACCGAATGTTGTATAAGGGTGCTAATCTATTAGCATTACTAAACTTTCTAATATATGTCTCTTTTATTTAACTCAGGTGAAAAGGATTCGATGATTTTTGATTGTACTGAATGCTATGATCCAGTTACTAAACAGTGGACAACTGTAGCTTCAATGAATCATCCCCGCTGTGGTTTAGGAGTGTGTGTGTGTTATGGAGCTATCTATGCTTTGGGTAATTATGCTGTTCAATTTAAAGAGAGCTAATATTATTTATGTATTTATTTTTAATTTTCACTTTTGTGGGTATGTAATAGGTATATATATTTTGGGGCACATGAGATACAGGTACACAATGTGTAATAATCACATCATGTAAAATGGGATATCCAGCCCCTCAAGTATTTATCCTTTGTGTTATAAACAATCCAGTTATTAAAAATAACTAGAACAATACTCTTGTAGTTATTTTTAAATGTACAATTAAATTATTATTGACTATAGTCATCCTGTTGTGCTATCAAATGCTAGGTCTTATTCATTATTTCTGTTTTTGTTATTTTTTACTCATTAATCATGCTCACCTCCTCCCCACCCTCCACCAACCTTCCTGGCCTCTGGTAACCATCCTTCTACTCTATCTCCATGAGTTCAATTGTTTTGATTTTTAGATCCCACAAAGAAGTGAGAATATGGAATGTTCGTAAAGATAGCTAATATTATTTAAATTATTGGGTTCTGATTACCGTGGAGATATCTTTCCCTCTTTTCAGCTCTTTAAATTCTTTTTTTAAAAAAACCAATTGGCTTTAATCTGCATACTCTGGAGGCTGTGCAAGGTCTTAGGGAAAGGTATAGATAGGGGTCGGGGGGGTTGGGGTGATGCTCCTGGGCTGTCCATCCTGAGGAGGCACTCAGGCAGTGAATGGTACAGGAGGACCTGAGCACCTGCAGGGCAGAGCCTTGTAGGGCAGGTGCATCAGTTCTTGGGCAGATGGTAGATGCCTGCCTGGCCAGTTGGCTGGCTGACCAAGCTGCCAGTCACACACATTCTTCTGCAGGTAGCTCCGGAGCTACTGTATGCTGTAAATGTGCTCTTCAGCTCTTTAAATTCTTATTCTCAAAATTGTATCATTGGAGATAAAGTATAGATGAGACATCCAGTGAAGTCCTTTAGCTGAGTAGTTAAATCTCATTATTTTAATTAAATATATAACTTTTTTTTTTTTTTTTTTGAGTGGGAGTTTTGCTCTTGTTACCCAGGCTGGAGTGCAATGGTGCAATCTCGGCTCACCGCAACCTCCACCTCCTGGGTTCAGGCAATTCTCCTGCCTCAGCCTCTTAAGTAGCTGGGATTACAGGCACACGCCACCATGCCCAGCTAATTTTTTGTATTTTTAATAGAGACGGGGTTTCACCATGTTGACCAAGATGGTGTTGATCTCTTGACCTCGTGATCCACCCGCCTCGGCCTCCCAAAGTGCTGGGATTACAGGTGTGAGCCACCATGCCCGGCAATATATAACATTTTTTTTTTTTTTTTTTTTTTGAGGTGGAGTTTTGCTCTTGTTACCCAGGCTGGAGTGCAATGGCGTGATCTCGGCTCACCGCAACCTCCGCCTCCTGAGTTCAGGCAATTCTCCTGCCTCAGCTTCCTGAGTAGCTGGGATTACAGGTACGCGCCACCATGCCCAGCTAATTTTTTTTGTATTTTAGTAGAGAGGGGGTTTCACCATGTTGACCAGGATGATCTCAATCTCTTGACTTCGTGATCTACCCGCCTTGGCCTCCCAAAGTGCTGGGATTACAGGCTTGAGCCACCACACCTGGCCATAATATATAACATTTTCACCACTCTGCCTAGTGGCCTAATTATGTCTAATATAAGAAAGCACATGCCAAAAACTTAAATGTATCACAAGGAAATTCTGCACTATATTATTTTTATTTTTGTAGATGTAGTGAATGATTATGAGTAAGCTATTCTACTTCTTTAATTATCCGTGTAATGCATGTTAGAACCAAAGTTGTTCTTAGGGAACTTATAAGTTGACATAGCCCTCAGTCTCCCCTATTTTCTCCTTGTCATTCCTTCAGTTCACTCTAACTCAGGGTCTTTCCCCCATCAAAACCTATTGTGTAAAAAGTATCACTTACCTGAAGGTGGATTTAATCTATTACATTCTATTACTTCCATAAGTATCTGCATTTTTTAGTTAATTTTCAGAAATAATATTTTCAATTTTAAGAATTGGAGAGGCTGGGCGCGGTGGCTCAAGCCTGTAATCCCAGCACTTTGGGAGGCCGAGGCGGGTGGATCACGAGGTCAAGAGATCGAGACCATCCTGGTCAACATGGTGAAACCCCGTCTCTACTAAAAATACTAAAAATTAGCTGGGCATGGTGGTGCGTGCCTGTAATCCCAGCTACTCAGGAGGCTGACAGAATTGCCTGAACCCAGGAGGCGGAGGTTGCGGTGAGCTGAGATCGTGCCATTGCACTCCAGCTTGGGTAACAAGAGCGAAACTCCGTCTCAAAAAAAAAAAAAAAAAAAAAAAAAAAAAAAGAATTGGAGAGTATGTTGTTGTGGGGATTAAGGGCCTTTTTGAAGTTCTTGAAATTACACCAAATACACAGAATACACTGATTAGACTTGGAGCTCTCCTTGATTAGGATAAACATTCTGAATAGCCAGAAGTCATTTAAAAAGATAGTTTTGCAAAATACCATCTTTCCCATGCAATATATTGAAGTTTTGGGGCTTGTTTGTTTTGTTTTGTTTTAGTCTTTAGTGAAAATTTGACACCAAATTAAAATACTTGAATTCTTTTTTTTTTTTTCTCAGAAGAGCATCAATTTTGCAAAGGACCTGAGTTCTACTCGTAGTCAGATTCTGACTTTTTCATGTGATCATGGAACAGATAACCTCTTTGGTTCATGTGATACTCATCCATAATATGAAGTATTTGGTTTAGATGTTTTGTAAGGTCTTTGTCATAAATAAGATTTCTTTATCCCAGAAATAAACATTTTTCTATTTTGTTACAGGTGGATGGGTTGGAGCTGAGATAGGGAACACAATTGAACGATTTGATCCTGATGAAAATAAATGGGAAGTAGTGGGCAACATGGCTGTGTCACGCTACTACTTTGGGTGCTGTGAAATGGAAGGTAATGACTATAAAATATTTTTCCTCAGCTGGGCATGGTGGCTCACGCCTATAATCCTAGCACTTTGGGAGGCCGATGCAGGCAGATTACAAGGTCAGGAGTTTGAGACCAGCCTGCCCAATATGTTAAAACCTTGTCTCTACTAAAAAATACAAAAATTATCTGGATGTGGTAGCGTGTGCCTGTAGACCTAGCTACTTGAGAAGCTGAGGCAGGAGAATTTACTGGAACCCAGGAGGCAGAGGTTCCAGTGAGCCAAGATTGCGCTACTGCACTCCAGCCTGGGCAACAGAGACTCTGTCTCAAAAAAAAAAAAAAAAAAATTAATTTTTTTTTCTGAAAATGTAGTTCTGCAAAACTGTTTGAGTTTGAGGCCTTATTTTCACAGAAGTATGTTTTAGGTCTGTTAGTATTGAATGACTGGTATTAGCAGCATAGAAGTTCTGCTTTTTACCTCCTATTATTTTTTATTTATTTATTTTTTGAGACGGAGTTTCACTCTTGTTACCCAGGCTGGAGTGCAATGGCGCGATCTCGGCTCACCGCAACCTCCGCCTCCTGGGTTCAAGCAATTCTCCTGCCTCAGCCTCCTGAGTAGCTGGGATTACAGGCACGTGCCACCATGCCCAGCTAATTTTTTGTATTTTTAGTAGAGACGGGGTTTCACCACGTTGACCAGGATGGTCTCGATCTCTCGACCTCGTGATCCACCCGCCTCAGCCTCCCAAAGTGCTGGGATTACAGGCTTGAGCCACCGCGCCCGGATACCTCCTATTATTGACTTTTATTTCTGTATTGCCAAAATAATTGATTTTTTTCAAAATAAACAAGGCTAGAATTAAAAATTGCAAATAAGCAGGAATATCTGACTAGCAAAATAAGCATTTAAAGTGTTATCTGTTATTGTCTTTTCTCTCCCATGAACATCTAAGTAAATATTTCTAAGTAGGAAGAGAATATCAAAAATAATTTTGAGGCTTGGTGGTTCATGCCTGTAATCCCAGCACTTTGAGAGGCTGAGGCAGGAGGATTACCTGAGGTCAGGAGTTCGAGGCCAACCAGACCAAAGAAATGGTGAAACCTCATTTCTACTAAAAATACAAAAATTAGCTGGGCATGGTACCACACTCCTGTAATCCCAGCTACTAGGGAGGCTGAGGCAGGAGAATTTGCTTGAACCCAAGAGACAGAGGTTGCAGTGAGTGAGATGGTGCCACTGCACTACAGCCTGGACAACAGTGAGACTCTGTGTCAAAAAATAAATAAAAATACAAACTATTTTCATGGTCTCTATTTGTAGGCTTCTTTAGCTTTTTTTTTTTTTTTCTACAAAGTACATTGCAATTTAGTTCACATAGCATATAATTCTGTGACAGATTTTAAAAATTCTATGTTACATATTAAAGTGGTATACAAACATTATTTTAATTATCTACTACACTCTGAGAGGTAGGTAGTAAGCTGTTTTAACTAGAACCTGATTCTCTGTCTAGGATTGGAGAGCTGATTTATATGCACCTGTGGAGAAGAAAACAACTTTCTCATTGTAGTATGACAGCCTAGCCTGCTGAAGTTCCTCTGCTTTGTGATTACCTTCTCTGATTTCCACTAGCAAATTATGTGGTGCCAACTATATCTTACTGTTTAATGTTATATTGTTTTCTATTTATTATTTTTATCATCCCATCTAAAATCATAGAGCTAACTAGAAAGGGATCTTTGAACTTATCTGTTTTAGTTTCTTTTTCTTTTTTTCTTTTTTTTTTTTTTCGAGATGGAGTTTCGCTCTTGTTACCCGGGCTGGAGTGCAATGGCGCGATCTTGGCTCACCGCAACCTCAGCCTCCTGGGTTCAGGCAATTCTCCTGCCTCAGCCTCCTGAGTAGCTGGGATTATAGGCACGTGCCACCATGCTCAGCTAATTTTTTGTATTTTTAGTAGAGACGAGGTTTCACTATGTTGACCAGGATGGTCTCGATCTCTTGATCTCGTGATCCACCCGCCTCGGCTTCCCAAAGTGCTGGGATTACAGGCTTGAGCCACCGCGCCCGGCACTCTTTTTTTTTTTTTTTTTTAAGACAGGGTTTCACCATGTTGGTCAGGCTGGTCTTTGAACTCCCGACCTCAGGTGATCCGCTTGCCTTGGCCTCTAAGGTGCTTGGATTACAGGCGTGAGCCACCAGGCCTGGCCTGAACTTATCTATTTTAGTGTTTTTAAGTATAGATGAGGAAGCTGGAGATCAGGAAGGTTGTGAGTTGCTTTTTCATAGCTGGTTACTGGCAAGGCTGGAACTAAAACCCAAATTTACTAACGTATAGCCCACATTTCTTAAAATATCATTCTTCATAACTCCTCACTTTGGAAGATGAAGAAGAACACTAGAGATTCAAAAATAATTGTAGATTGCCAGAGTTTATAAGGAAATTCTATGTAAATTACATTATATTTTACTGTAGTAATTTTTTTTTTTTTTTTTTTTTTGAGACGGAGTTTCGCTCTTGTTACCCAGGCTGGAGTGCAATGGCGCGTTCTCGGCTCACCGCAACCTCCGCCCCCTGGGTTCAGGCAATTCTCCTGCCTCAGCCTCCTGAGTAGCTGGGATTACAGGCATGCACCACCATGCCCAGCTAATTTTTTGTATTTTTTTTAGTAGAGACGGGGTTTCACCATGTTGACCAGGATGGTCTCGATCTCTTGACCTTGTGATCCGCCCGCCTCGGCCTCCCAAAGTGCTGGGATTACAGGCTTGAGCCACCGCGCCCGGCTTTTTTTTTTTTTAAGACAAGATCTGGCTCTATTGCCCAGGCTGGAGTGCAGTGGTGCAATCTTGGCTCACTATACCTTTGCCTCCCAGTCTCAAGCTATCCTCCCACCACAGTCTCCTGAGTAGCTGGGACTGCAGGCATGCACCACCATGCCTGGCTGATTTTGTATTTTTTGTATTTTTTACCCAGGTTGGTTTCAAACTCAAGTGATCTGCCTGCCCTGTCCTCTCAAAGTGCTGAGATTGTGAACCACTGTGCCCAACTGTGTACTGTAGTAATTTATTCTGATACCTTAATTTAGCCACATACAATTTAAATTTAAATTCCCTACTTTATGTCTAGCTGAGTAACAGATAGGTCGTCATTAAAGAGGGCCATGTCATTCCCAGCTTAAGTGCATAACATTTTTTAGGGGAAAAAAAAATCCAAGTTTCTAGGCCGGGCACGGTGGCTCATGCCTGTAATCCCAGCACTTTGGGAGGCCGAGGTAGGCAGATCACGAGGTCAAGAATTCGAGACCATCCTGGCCAGCATGGTGAAACCCCGTCCCCCGTCTCTAAAAAAAAAAAAAAAAAAAAAAAATTCATGATTTTTTTTTTTTTTTTGAGACAGTCTCGCTCTGTCACCAGGCTGGAGTACAATGGCACCATGCTGGCTCACTGCAGCTTTTGTTTTCTGGTTTCAAGCAATTCTCCTGCCTCAGCCTCCCCAGTAGCTGTGACTACAGGCACACACCACCACGCTGGGCTAATTTTTTTTTTTAGTATTATTTTTAGTAGAGAGGGGGTTTCACCACGTTGGCCAGGATGGTCTCGATTTCTTGCCCTTGTGATCTGCCCACCTCGGGCCCCCAAAGTGCTGGGATTACAGGTGTGAGCCACCGCGCCCAACCTCTTTCCTGTTTTATATATGGGTGGTAGCAGGGGATCTGGAACCTGAGATCACCAAGCAGACAATTAGATAGAAAATTCTTGGCTGGGCTGGGCATGGTGGCTCACGCCTGTAATCCCAGCACTTTGGAAGATGAAGGTGGGTGGATCACCTGAGATCAGGAGTTTGAGACCACCCTGACCAACATGGAGAAACTCCATCTCTACTAAAAATACAAAATTAGCTGGGCATGGTGGTGCATGCCTGTAATCCCAGCTACTCAGGAGGCTGAGGAAGGAGAATCGCTTGAACCCAGGAGGTGGAAGTTGTAGTAAGCCAAGATCATGCCATTGTACTCCAGCCTAGGCAGCAAGAGCGAAACTCCATCTCCAAAAAAAGAAAATCCTTGGCTGACAGATTATTTCAAGTTATTTGAAAACTCCATACCATTTTAAATTAATTCCACTTCTTTTTTTGCAACTTGCCGAATAGTAAGGTGATAAACTTGACAAAGTTGATTTTCTCTTAAATAATATTTTAAGCCCTAGATTAAACATAGCATCAGCATAGGAAACATAGATCACAGTCATTACTTTTTGTCACTATTTGTATCCTACTTTCTATGGCATCTGAGCAAAAATATTTCATTTCCAGGTTTAATTTATGTAATTGGGGGCATCAGCAATGAAGGACTAGAACTTCGTTCTTTTGAAGTCTATGATCCACTTTCTAAGCGTTGGTCTCCACTTCCTCCAATGGGAACCAGGAGAGCATATCTTGGCGTGGCTGCACTCAATGACTGCATCTATTCTATTGGAGGATGGAATGAGACCCATGATGCTCTTCATACTGTAGAAAAATATTCCTTTGAAGAGGTAGGTTGGATGATTTCAGATGTTTAGTCTCCTGGTATTCTTTCATTGTCTGTATGATCTGTGGTGATGCACTGTCTTTCAGATATTGATCATTCATGAACTTTTTTTCCTTTCAAAGAAGTAATTTTCGGTGTATTTGCTTTTTTCTATTGTCGATTTTCTGTTATATTGATTTCTGTTCTTAGTTTTCCCTTTTCTCTGTTTGTTTTTAATTGAGTTTGCTCTTTTCTGGATTATATATTTATTTTTAAATTTTTTTAGAGACAGGGTCTTGTTCTGTTGCCCATGCTGGAGTATACTGATATAATTATTATAGCTCACTGTAACACTGAACTCCTGCCCAGCTAATTAAAAAAATTTTTTTTGTACTGCTGGGCATGGTTGCTCATACCTGTAATCCCAGCACTTTGGGAAGCCAAGATGACAGGATCCTTTGAGCCCAGGAGTTCAAGACCAGCCTAGGCAACACAGTGAGACTGTCTGTACAATAAACAACAAAATTAGTTGGGCATGGTGGTATGCACCTTTGGTTCTAGCTACTCGGGGGGCTTATTTATTTTCTGAGATGGAGTCTTGCTCTGTCGCCCATGCTAGAATGCAGTGGTGCAACCTCGGCTCACTGCAACCTCCATGTCCTGGGTTCAAGCGATTCTCCCACCTCAGCCTTCTGAGTAGCTGGGATTACAGGCATGCACCATGACACCCAGCGAATTTTTGTATTTTTAGTAGCAAGAGGGTTTCACCATGTTGGGTGGGCTGGTCTTGAACTCCTGACCTCGTGATCTGCCTGCCTTGGCCTCCCAAAGTGCTGGGATTGGGATTAGAGGCGTGAACTACTGCCCCTAGCTGCTTCACATATTTTGATTTGTCTCTGGTAATTCTTTATACTGAAGTCTACTTTTTTTTTTTTTTTTTTTTTTGAGACAGAGTCTCACTCTGTCACCCAGGCTAGAGTACAGTGGCATGATCACAGCTCACTGCAACCTTTGTCTCCTGGGTTCAAGGGATTCTTGTGCCTCAGCCACCCGAGTAGCTGGGATTACAGGCATGTGCTACCATGCCCAGCTACTTTTTGTATTTTTAGTAGAGATGGTATTTTGCTGTGTTGGCCAGGCTGGTCTTAAACTCCTGACCTCAAGTAGTCTGCCTGCCTTGGCCTCCCAAAGTGCTAGGATTACAGGTGTGAGCCATCACACCTAGCCTCTAAGCATTCTTTTCATTAGTGTTTTCATGGTATAGTATATCTTTCTCTTTCCTTCTGCTTCTCTATATCTTTTTTTTTTTTTTTTTTTTTCCCGAGACAGAGTTTTGCTCTTGTTACCCAGGCTGGAGTGCAATGGCGTGATCTCGGCTCACCGCAACCTCCGCCTCCTGGGTTCAGGCAATTCTCCTGCCTCAGCCTCCTGAGTAGCTGGGATTACAGGCACGCGCCACCATGCCCAGCTAATTTTTTGTATTTTTAGTAGAGATGGGGTTTCACCATGTTGACCAGGATGGTCTCGATCTCTTGACCTCGTGATCCACCCGCCTCGGCCTCCCAAAGTGCTGGGATTACAGGCGTGAGCCACCACGCCCGGCCTTGCTTCTCTGTATCTTTACAAATTGCACTTGTAGACAGCATATAGTTGTGGTCTTTTTTTTTTTTTGATACAGAGTCTTGCTCTTGTTACCCAGGCTGGAGTGCAATGGCGCGATCTTGGCTCACCACAACCTCCGCCTCCTGGATTCAGGCAATTCTCCTGCCTCAGCCTCCCGAGTAGGTGGGTTTACAGACACGAGCCACCATGCCCAGCTAATTTTTTTGTATTTTTAGTAGAGATGGGGTTTCACCATGTTGACCAGGATGGTCTTGATCTCTTGACCTCGTGATCCACCCGCCTCGGCCTCCCAAAGTGCTGGGATTACAGGCTTGAGCCACCGCGCCTGGCCAGTTGTGGTCTTTTTTTAAGTTCACTTTGACAATCTCTGACTTCAAATGTTTTAGAGTTCATATATATATATATATATATATATATATGTATGTATGTATGTATGTATGTATATGTATACACACACATATATATATGTTTTTTTTTGTTTTTTGTTTTTTTTTTTGAGACGGTGTTTCGCTCTTGTTACCCAGGCTGGAGTGCAATGGCGCGATCTAGGCTCACCGCAACCTCCGCCTCCTGGGTTCAGGCAATTCTCCTTCCTCAGCCTCCTGAGTAGCTGGGATTACAGGCACGCGCCACCATGCCCAGCTAATTTTTTGTATTTTTAGTAGAGACAGGGTTTCACCATGTTGATCAGGTTGGTCTCGATCTTTTGACCTCGTGATCCACCCGCCTCGGCCTCCCAAAGTGCTGGGATTACAGGCTTGAGCCACCGCGCCCGGCCTGTTTTTTTTTTTTAATTTGAGACGTAGTCTTGCTTTGTTGCCAGGCTGGAGTGCAGTGACAGGATCTTGGCTCACTACAGTCTCCACCTCCTGGGCTCAAGCGATTCCCCTGCCTCAGCCTCCTGAATAGCTGGGACTACAGGTGTGCACCATGATGCCTGGCTAATTTTTTGTATTTTAGTAGATCCTGGGTTTTACATGTTGGCCAGGGTGGTCTTCATCTCCTGACCTTGTGATCTGCATGCCTCAGCCTCCCAAAGTGCTAGGATTATCGGCATGAACCACCGTGCCCAGCCTTATATTTTATGTAATTACAAATATAGTTGGTTTGTAGACTCCTATTTTGCTGTTTGTTTTTGTTTTTTTCTTTTTCTTTTTCTTTTCTTTTCTTTCTTTCTTTCTTTCTTTTTTTTTTTTTTTTTTTTTTGAGGCAGAACCTTGCTTTGTTGCTCAGGCTGGAGTTCAGTGGCATGATCTTGGCTCACTGCAACCTCTGCTTCCCAGGTTCAAGCGATTTTCCTGCCTCAGCCTCCGAGTAGCTGGGATTATGGGTGCCCACCACCATGCCCAGCTAATTTTTATATTTTTAGTAAAGATGGGCTTTCACCATTTGGGCCAGGTTGTTCTCAAACTCCTGACCTTGAGCAATCCCCCTACTTTGGCCTCCCAAAATGCTGGGATTATAGGTGTGAGCCACCGTGGCTGGCCTTGCCGTTTGTTTTCTGTGTATGAAGTCTATTCTTTGATTCTTTTTTCCTCTTTTTATCATTATGTTGATTGTTTTAGTATTCTGTTTTATTTCTTTTATTGTCTAGTTAGCTATATTTCTTCAACCTTTTTCTTGGTGATGGCTTTAGGATTTTGTGGGTGGAAAAAACATACTCAACATGTTTTTCTACTCTGATCTCACATCACAACAATCATTAACACAGAAAACTTCTGTGAGTGAATCTGTGTGTGGGTTTTCCCCTATACATCAAGCAGCAGACACCAGCTAGGTGTCCTCTAATTCAGTTAAATTCTGATACTATCTACGGAGATAGCCTCAGACTTCACAGTTGAGGGCTCAGTCCTCACGACTGCCCCCTCCTTCAGGCACCCGTCCAAGTCCAGGCCTCTGGAACTTCTGACCAACTGGCTCCAAGTTGGGGTTCTCACACCTTCTTTGGAGTCAATTAATTTGCTAGAGTGGCTCATAGAACTCAGGGAAACACTTACTTGTGTTTATCAGGTTATGATAAGGGATATTTCAAAGGATACAGATGAAGAGATACATAGGGGAGGTATGGGGGTATGGCATGATACTTCTATGCCCTCTGGTTATGCCACCCTCTGAAAACTTCCAGGTGCTCAACTATCAGAAAGTTCTCTGAATTCAGCCCTTTCGGGTTTTTATGGAGACTTTATTACATTGGCATGATTGATTAAATCATTAACTTAATCTTCAGCTTCTCTCCCCTCCCCGAAAGTCAGTGGATGGGACTGAAAGTTCTAATCCTCTCATCATGTCTTGGTCCTTCTGGTGACCAGCCCCGATTCTGAAGCTATGGGCTTCCAGCCATCAGTCATTGCCAGAAAGTGGGTTGAAGACTAAGTATGTACTTCATAATATCACAGGTTTACATTTTATATTTTTAGTGTATGAAATCTACAATATACTGCATCACTTCAAAGTGAGGACCTTGGCTGGGCACAGTGGCTCATGCCTGTAATCCCAGCACTTTGGAAAGCTGAGGTGGGCAGGTCATGAGGTTAGGAGATCGAGACCATCCTGGATAACACGGTGAAACCCCTTCTCTACTAAAAAAAACACAAAAAATTAGCCAGGCGTGGTGGTGCATGCCTGTAGTCTCAGCTACTCGGGAGGCTGAGGCAGGAGAATCGCTTGAACCAGGGAGGAGATGGCACCACTGCACTCCAGCCTAGGTGACAGAGCGAGACTTTCAAAAAAAAAGACAGAAAGAAAGTAAGGACCTTATAAAAATATACTTTTGCCGGGCACGGTGGCTCAAATCCAGCACTTTGAGAGACAGAGGCGGGTTGATCACCTGAGGTCAGAAGTTCAAGACCATCCTGGTCAACATGGTGATACCTTGTCTCTACCAAAAATACAAAAATTAGCTGGGTGTGGTGGCACATGCCTGTAGTCCCCACTACTCGGGAAGCTGAGGCAGGAGAATCACTTAAACCCAGGAGGCGGAGGTTGCAGTGACCTGAGACTGTGCCACTGCACTCTAGTCTGGGTGACAGAGTGAGACTCTGTCTCAAAAAAGAAAAAAAAATAGTTTAAAAAAAAAAATATATATATATATATATATATATTTTTTTTTTTTTTTTTTTTTTGAGACGGAGTTTCGCTCTTGTTACCCAGGCTGGAGTGCAATGGCGCGATCTCGGCTCACCGCAACCTCCGCCTCCCGGGTTCAGGCAATTCTCCTGCCTCAGCCTCCTGAGTAGCTGGGATTACAGGCACGTGCCACCATGCCCAGCTAATTTTTTGTATTTTTAGTAGAGACGGGGTTTCACCATGTTGACCAGGATGGTCTCGATCTCTCGACCTCGTGATCCACCCACCTCGGCCTCCCAAAGTGCTGGGATTACAAGCTTGAGCCACCGCGCCCGG